CAGTTGCCTTACCAAAAAAAAAAAAAGGCTTTCCCTTAAATTATCGGTTGTATCACATTTCCAAAGAAACTTTCCTTATGCAAGATGGTCTGAAAAACTTATCCATATTAACGTGTTCATGGTTTCCCTTTGGTTACAAAACAAGCTGTTCCTGCTATTTCCTAGGCCTAATTCATCTGCTCAAGCCTTGATTCCCATCTCCTTCTACATCTTCCCGTCCTTGCTCTAGCTGTCATCCCTTTTCTTTCATTAATCTTCATTCTTTCCCTTTGCCCCCCACATCTTCCCTTTTGAATATACTTCGCTCTCCTTAAGCCTAAAAAGCCTTCCCTTGATTCTTCTACCCCATATAGCTAAGCTCTCTGTCACCTCCCCTTTCGCTTTTACATTTCTGAAGGGAAAAAACACCCAACCAAACAAACATTATCTATATCCTCTGCCTTCAGTTCCTTAGCTTTTTAGCTTTTTGCAGTGTTTTCCCTCCTCATCATTCTACTGAAACTTCTCTCCCAGACATCGCCTTTGCCCTCCTAACTGCCGAATCCAATGACGTTTTTATAAAACCTTCTTCCCATGGACTCCTTGTAGCATTTGACACTGCAGACTGCTCCCTCCCACTGGATTCCTTGGCTTCAGAGACCACACATCATCCTGATTCTCTTCCTTTTCTAACTGCTTCTTTTCTGAATTACTCACTAGCCTCTAAGCCTTTATCCGATTCTTCAAAGTTGAATGTTGCCCAAGGTGCTGGGCTGCTTTAACCTTCTCTTCCTTCTGAAAGCTTTCTCCTTTGGCATTCCTGCAGAATGTAAGCTCCATTTATTTTTTGTCCTTGTTGCCCTAGTGCCTAGCTCAGTGCTTGGCAGGTAACAGGTGCTCAACTAATGCTTGTTGAGTTGAATTCCATTCACTCCCATGGTTTCCACTACTCTCTCAGTTCAAATGGCTCTTTCTTCTATTTGTCTAGCCCTAACTTCTGTTCCATATTCCAGATCCAAGCCACCAGTAGCCTATAACACTTCTCTACCTGAATGTCCTGCCATCACTGCAAATGCAATATGTCTAAAATTGGACTTATTATCATTCCTCTTAAATCTGCTTCTCCTTTTTATGTCACTGGAATGCTGCAATGTTCAAAAGTATGTGTTCTCTATGACTCTTCCCTCTCTGTCTCACCTCTCATATTCCCTTTGTAACATCTCTCACATTCATCTCCTCACCTGTTTTCCTCCTGTCACCGTCATAGTAAAAGCTCTCATTATTCCTTACATAGATTATTTCAATAGCCTATGAAGAGGTCTTCCTTCCTCTACCCTTTCCTCCTATTTCCACATTAATCTTCCTTATTTATACATATATTCATGATGGTCTTCCATTACAAAAAAAAAATCTTTACTGGCTCCCTATTACCCATCAAGTAAAGTTCAGATTTATCTCCCTGGCGCTAAAGACCTCCACAATATCTAAGAACGCTAACTTTCCAAACTTATCTCATATTACTTTCCTACACCAAGTCTATGCTCTAACCAAACTGGACAATTCTCAGTCCCTCCCTTGCCCCACCCTGCCTGACCAGTGTCTCTCACACACACTTTACATACTTTGCTTCTTATATTTATTCAGTGTGTTCCATATGTCTAGAATGTCATCCCATTTTCTCTGCCTGCTGAATTCCAAATTATCCTTTTAAGCTCAAATGCTACCTTATATAGGAAGTCTTCTCACATCACACTTTCTAATTTTTCCATGTGATTCTATTTTTTAAAACTATTTTATCAAAAGAAAGGCAGTGTATTTTACTGGATAGAGAGCTGCCCTTAGAAGACCTGGATTCAAGTCCTTCCTCTGACACCTATTGGCTGGAAAGAGGTTACCCAATATCTGAATGTTCAAGGACCTAAGACTCTACCTTGCAAAGAAAGTGGCAACTTGTATTGGTAGAATTCTCTATATCAGTGAAATCATAGGGCATCTCTATCTGTATTCTATTTTATTAGAATTTTAACAATGAACATCGATCCAACAATTCAACTTGTTTCATAACTTTTCATTTGAACAAATTAATTACAGTGCATAAATTACCGAAGTATTTTTTCATGCACTCTCTAAATCCCCTTTGATATTCTTATATATATTTGCATTTCTTCATATGATCATGGTTAGTGTGTGCTCCACCCCTCTGCGTTATGGTTACCTTACTGTCTTAGTCCCTACTGGATTGTAATCTCCATGTGGACAGGGACTCTGTCACATCTGTACTTTGCATCTCCCTCAATACCTGGCCCAGTGTTGTACTCAACCTTCTCTTCCCTTTTCCTTCTCTTTCCCTCCCCTTCTTCCTCTCTTTCTCCCTCTAACCATAAGTGGTTAATAATGTTTATTGAACGTGGGTGTTTTTGTTTAAAAGATTAGCTTGTCATTCTTTCCAGGCAACATTTTTAGGGTCTTTTGGAGTAGCTAAATTAATACAGTGGATAGAGTTCCAGGCCTGGAATCAGGGAGACCTGAGTTAAAATCCAGCTTCAAACACGTATGAGCTGTGTGACCCTGGACCAGTCACTTAACCACTGTCTGCCTCAGTTTCCTCATCTGTAAAATGAGAACAACAGTTGTATCTACCTCCCAGGTTGCTATGAGGATCAGATGAGATAATAATTATAAAAGTGTTTAGCACAGTATTGGGACATAGTAAGCATAATGTAAATGTTAGCTGTAGCAGCTGCTAATGATGATGAAGAAGATGAAACTCTGGAATTCACCCAAAAGAGCTGGTTGGGGCAAACATTACAGATGAGGGAGATATTTGAGAGAAGAGGGTTTCTAGTGTACCATGTAGGCAGCTGCCTGTTCTGCCAGTGTTCATGCTCTACCTATTTGCATGGCCAACCCAAAGATGATTGTACCTTGGAATGGCTCTGCTGCTTCTTTATAATTAATTGATCTGCACAAAGGAGACCAGACTCAAAAATACAGAAACAAGATAATTCTAGGAAGAACTCGGTTTTGCTTTAAATAACCTTGCTGGAATTCTTATTGGTGCCTTCGTCCCCAAATTAGACCAGGGTTATTCTTGTTTACCTAATCCTCCCGTCTACCCATCAAACTCTGAAGGGGCTGTGCTCATGAAGAGTGGGCTCATTCCCAGACACTGTGGTTAGGCCCAGAGTGTAGAAGACACACTTTCCTTTCCTTACTTCTATCCCTTTTCCCCCCTTCATTGAAGGACTCGGTATCTTCCTGGTCCCCTCAGCTACTCAGGGTTCCCTGTGGCAATATCCTGCCCACACCTGCTATTTCTAGGCAGTGTCTTATGCTTCAAAATTGCTTCTCTTTCCTTCCCCACCTAATTCTTTCCTCACTGCCTTGCCCTTACCTTCAATGAAAACTGCCATTCTCTCAATGTGCCCTTAGATAAAAAGGATTACATTAAACTGATTCATACATGGATATTTTAAAAAATCTTTTAGCTTGTTACCCTGCAGGAATATTTACCTTTTAAAAGTAGATACCTGTTTGAGATAGGTAGATAGATAGAAAGAAAGATAGATCGATAGATGGTTTAATAGCTAGATGGATAAGACAAGCATTTATTAGGCACATAGTAATGATGATAATACAACTACAAGCAAATAAAGACAGCCCCTACCCTTGAGAAGACAGCCTTAGGTGTTATATTGACTGATTGATTGACACATAAGAGGGAGCTGGAAAGAGAGGGAGGTCAAGGAGAGTACAGGGGGAGGAGGAGAGGGAAAAATCCTGAAGCCTGAGTGGAGGCAATGGAGGCAAGAGTGAAGTGATCATGATCTGGGCACCTCATGAAATGGAGTTTGGGGATAGGTGCTCCCCTATCTGAAGAGAGGGACACAGGGCAGAGGCATCTGTGAGGTGAGAAGGCCGGGGATATTGGGAGGGTAGAGTGGAGACATGAGGTGGGGACGGTACCCATGATGTCATTTGGTATAGGAAGCTTCCAGGTGAGGAAATCCCCTCCACCAAATCAGATGGCTACTTTCTCTGCAACTTACAGCCTTAGAGTTGCCTGGAGTACTAAGATTAGTTAAGTAACTTGCAGAGAATCACAGAGTCAGAATGTGTCGGAGGAAGACCTTGAACTTGGGTCCTTCTGTCTTTGACAACAGGGATCTAGTCACTATGTCATGCTGCTTCTGGGACAGTGGGTTTTAGGCTATGCCACAACAGGAAGAAAGGGCTGGGAAGGGAAGGAAGGAGAGATTTGGGGTAAAGGGGACTTTCTTAGTCCCTTAGATTTTAAATCACAACTTGTTGGCAGTTGTCTACTCTGCTTACTGGTAGAGCCAGCCCTTCGGAAAGGAATTCGCTGTATCATACTATTTTTGGACCTTACAAAGGCAGAACAAGCAGATGTTTTGTTTTTTGTTTTCCGTGAAAATCCTATGATTCACAATCACTTTCACTCAGGGGGGACCAGGTAAATTCACTGCTCTGCAAGGAGTCCTTAATTGGTGGGGAAATAAATAGATTAGTCCCCCTTTCCCTGTTCAAATGCTGCTTGGGTTTCTTTCCACGTCTCTCTCTTTTACCAGCATCACTTAGATGAAAAGACAGCTAAGTCAGGTTACATTTCCCAGTACTTTGATTTGACTGCACACTGACCTGCCTTTTGGTTCTGGCTTACTTGGAGAATTTATCAGTTATGCTACTTTTAATGGCTATATGAGGCTGATGTCAACTTTTTTCTCATTTCCTTCTGTCTTTCCCTCCCTCCCTCCCTCCTTCTTCCCTCCCTCTCTCCTTCCTCTTTCCTTCCTTCTTTCCTTCCTTCCTTCTTCCTTTTCATCCTTCCTTCTTCCTTCCTTCCTTCATTCCTCCCTCCCTTCCTTCCTTCCAAATAATTGTGGTTTGAGATCTATAAGAATGGAAATAACACTCTGGGAAGAACCTGTGTGAAATGATGCAGCCTTTTCTCCCTGTGATGGCCAAAGCTTTATTTTCTCTATTTCCACTTGCAGGGAGGAGAACATTGTTACTACCATGGCTACATTAGAGGATACCCTGATTCATTTGTTGCCCTGTCGACATGCCATGGACTCCAGTAAGTTTCCTAAGTTACTCAGCTATGATTTTTCTCCAGTACCTTTTAATGCTCTATCTCTGATATTACTGTTATCCTGGCCTGTTGTTGGCTACATCAGGATAAGGTTTAACTGCAGATCAGGGATGGACCAGGCTCTTCCCTCTTTTTTTTCCCATCAATTCAACAAGATATTAAGTATTGACTACATGCCAGATTTTGAGTTGGGTGCTGGGAATGTAGAAGTAAAAACAAAGCAAACCCTACCCTTAAAGAGTTTACATTCTAGGAATATAATTTTTCTTCTGAGGACTATTTTAGTCTTCACCTAGAAATTTTGATATGTTGTCTCCATCATTATCTCATAATCATTATTCATCATTATCATCACCTTCATCATCTCTTTCCACATATATATTGTTTCTATGATTTGTTATTTAACCTACTTATTCAGGATGTCATTATTAAGCTTTTTAAAGCATTAATTAAGCATTTAGCTTTTGCTTGTGTCTCCTATATTTATTATTTTATTGTATTGTAGCCTGTAAATGATGCATTTAGTTAAATCTTCTTTATGTACTTATTTACATGTTCTAACACGTGGTCTGTTTTTGTAAAGGTACCGTGCTGAAACCTATGTATATTCATTAATCTTCCTATTCATAATATTGAATGTCTTTCACCTCTAAATTCCCCAACATTTTTTTTCAGTTCTACATTTTCCATTTTAGCTATCTTTTTGTTAGATTTGTCTAACTAGGAGCTTACATTCCAGCTGTTTATAAGCCGAAAGGATTTTCTGAATCAGAGCTATTATTGAAACTATGTTTTCATTATGTACTGCTTAGAATTTTTCCTTAAAAATAATAATCTTTGGAGGATGTCTTTAACCTAATTTTCATCTGATTGTATAGCTGTGTGAGGATTGAATAATTTGGTTGATTTTTCTATGGCTTTTCTCATTGTTGATCTTATAGTATTTTTCAACACAAATATGCATATATATGTTTATACACATACATGCCTATGTATATGTGTATATATATGTATATATATGTATGTGTGTATCGATATAGATTAGATAGATAGATAGATAGATAGATAGATAGATAGATAGATAGATAGATAGTCCAAACTCATGATTTCATTAGTTTGGGTTAACTACTAATGTGACAGTTCTCTCCACTGACACAGATTGGCAGGTTCTCTATAACTTAGTTTTTAGAATTGCCTGGGAAACAAGAGATAAAGTGACTTGCCTACAGTCACCAAGCCAGTATAAGTCAGAGGTGAGACTAGAACCAAGGTCTTCCTAGCTCCAATGCTCTATCCATTATACTAAGTCCCTCTATTAGTACACCTAACAGTAATTTATTGGTGTGTAACCCAATGATCTTGTATTTGGAAATGGACAACAGATAGAAGTTTGTGTATTTACAACTTTGCTTTCAGGCAAACTAATCCTAGCCCATACTAGATTCATGGTGGTTCTGTTTCCCTAGCTCTTCATAAAAGGCAGTATGTGCCTTTTCTCAGTCACCTACTTCTTAGCTTACAACCTTCATGGTAAGAAAATTCTTTCCCGACTCAACTTGGGTTTGCGTTCCAACTCAGGCACTAACTAGCTTTTTCACTTGATCTTCCTTGTCCTCAGTTTCCTTATCTGTAAAACAAGATTAGACCAAATTATTTCTAAGAACCTTTGAGACCCAACAATGCTGGGTATTATACAATCTAGAGTTGGTGCCAATTTGTAGTTGGAGATTTTTCAGCCCCAAAACAGAAGTCTTATGAATAAGTATCTGGTGAGGGAGATGCTACAGGGAACCATCATAGAGTAGTCTTGGAATCAGAAAGACCTAGATTCACTTTCTACCTCTGAAACATAATGGTTGTATGACCCTAGGTAAGTCATTTAACCTCTTAGTGGTCAGCTCTTGGAGACCTTAAACTGCAGAATCTGCATTTTTGGAAAGAGTTTCGTTACCAGAATCACAAAAAAATAAAAGAAAACTTGATTAAATCACATTCCTTCTAGGCACAGATATCTTTTCATAATTTGTAGCTTAGTGGTATGCTTGTATCTGTGTGCATCAGATTACTTTGGCTTAGATTTCATTAGATAAGAATTTGGTATAAAAATGCTTTGCTCATACCCTGTCACAAATAGTTTGCCACAGTTTTACTTGTGGCATCTTCTAGACTGTCAGTCAGATCAAGAAGCCCTAGATAAAATGTATTTTGTGAGAAGTTATTAAGCATTAAATCATGGTGTATGATGTTTCAGGCAGAGGTATTATGCTGGTCTAGCCATGACTTGTCTCTTGTAAATAACCAAGAACAGAATGACATAAAGATAGATTTTTTTTTCAGTCTGTAGCCTTAAGATAAAGAAAACAAAATGGGAAATAGGAAAGTTTGGGTGCTTTTTCACATATAACTTGCAAGGACACGAGATGAAAGATTGTTCTGTAATGTCCCAGGTCTGGGGGGTGCAGTGACCCACCAGCTTTGATTTTAGAACAAGTTGTCAGAGCATCAGGAAGGAAGCAAGTCATATATGAGTTTACCACCCCCTGGTGGTGATTTGTTAAAATGGCTGCTTTCATCTCATTTCAACAAGTTATTTTCATAGAATCATGACATTTTAAAATAGGAAATGATGTTAGTAGGGGTGAATAAGTCTCTGTGGGCTCTAGGCTTGAGGAATTTGGAAGCATTTCCTCATGATTTTTAACGTTAAAAATTGTGGTATCATTTTAAAAAAGATAAAAATGAGAACATTATAAAATGGAAAACAGATTTATCATGTTATTTGTTTGCATTTTTAACAGTTAAATTCATATTTTATTATTGAAATATAAAGATATTACCTTATTTTTAATTTTTTGACTTTCATAGATAGAAAAGAAAAATTGAATTTAGAAAATAAAAATATTATTAATTATAAACTCAATGAAATTAATTATAAAATCAAATAATTTGTAAAAGAAGAAAACCATTTAGTTTGCTTTTTAAAATGCACAAATTATATATTTTCCCCAAATAACATAAAACTACTTGTCTTACATATTAACTAGATTGCCATAGTCAGAAAGACCTGGGTTTAGGTCTTCCATCTGGCACATGCTGACTATGTGACCCTGATCATAAATTCTTCCCTTATGCTTAGATCTGATAGGCAAAGTTTTGCATGCTCCCCTAATTTATTTATAACATCACCCTTAATGTCTAAATCATTTATCCGTTTTGACCTTTCTTTGGTGTGAGATGTTAGTCTATGCCTAGTTTCTGCCAAACTGCTCTCCACTTTTCCCAACAATTTTTGGCTAATGGTGAGTTCTTGTCCCCAAAGCCCCCATTTCTGGGTTTAAGGAACACTCGATTACTATGATCCTTTACTACTATGTGTTGTGTACCTAATCTGATCCACTGTTCCACCACTATCAGTGCCTGTGGCAATTCTCTAAGACTGTAAATTGTAGAGCACTTGATGATCCATTTACACTGGTAGAAGTTCCTCCCTGGTGGTTCCCCATACCACTGAAATCATGGAGTGTGTGCACTTAAGACTTTTTGGACAACATATATGTGAGTGATATTTACCAGACTATGAACATTTTTTAAATTCCAACTGTGTGCAGAGCAACGTGCTAGGGCACTGGGAGAGCTATCAAGTGCAGATAAGATACTGTCCCTGCCACCAAGGAGACCGTAGTCCAGAATAGGGACGAGATGCAGACACAGTGTTATATAGCACAAGAAGGAAAAGGAAAGGGAAGGACAAATTTCTTTATTAAGCATATACTGTGCTCCAGGCACTGTGCTAAGTGCTTTGCAAATATTATCTCATTTGATATTATCAATGGAGCAGGGAGGGTCAGGGAATCCTTCCTGAGGGAGTTTTACATTTATGTTGGTTTTAAGGAATGAGTAGGCATTCAAAAGGAAAAGAGAAGAGCTGGTATTCCTAGCAAAGGAAGAGGATGTGAAAGAACACAATTCATATTCAAGAGGAAGAGGAATGATCCATTTGGGTGGAGCATGAGAGAAGAGTAATAAAAGATAGGCCTAGAAAGGTAGAATGTAATCAAGGTGTCGTGTCCCATGCTATCAACCAAGTACTTGTTTGCTTAATTGTTTAATAAACCATATGTTGTTTATTATGAAATTATATATTATTCTAATACATTGTTTAATAAACATGTTAAATAAAATTACTTAATTAGTATTAGTTCCTAACAAAAATACTCTCAAACTCATATGCATATACTTTCCTAAATGAATATAACATGATAAGTTTTGTTACCAAGTATTGTTACCAAGACTGAGGTCCATAGCACCTTAGAACATTTGATATGTAAGGGGTCTTGGACATAGTCTAGTCCAATCTCCATTTTATATGAAATTCTGGGATTGAATTGGTCCTGGGATTGAAGTCCAGCTCCTTCCTTTATCACTTGATTTAAGACTTCCTGTTTATATTTCTGGAGTCATAATTTTTACTGCTGACCTATAGGTGGTAGAGAGGGTAAAGTGCTGGACTTGACATTTGGAAGACCTGAGTTCAGATACTGCCTCAGATACTTAATAGCTATATAGTCCTAGGCGACTACTTAACCTCTGTCTCAGTTTCTTTATCTGTAAAATGGGGATACTAGTATAATAGCCCCTACATCCAAGGTGCTATTATATGAAATGATATTTTTAAATGAGATAATCTCACTTAAAATGAGATAATATTTTTGAAGTGTTCTTGTAAACCTTAAAGTGCTGCATAAATGTTGGCTATTATAATTGTTATTAGCATTAGTATTTTACAAGCTCACATTGCTTGAACCTACATCCCCACTGTGACTGCCCTCACTCCAACAATTTCTTCTAGTATCTTAAGTGTACTCACACAAGTGAACAAATAGGTAGAAGTAGACAATAGTGTAATGGAGCAGGTAGAATGAAAAATTGAGACTCATTAGAGGTATTAGTCATTTGTGATTCTAAAGTTCATCATAACCAACTAACATCCCAATAAGTGGTAATCAGAGCAGTGGCTGGCTACATTTCTTAGTTGGAATCCCAACCTCATAATATGTTCTCATTTATCCAAAATGATTGGACAATATTGTAAGAAGTAATAACTTCCCAAGGTTTGGTGCTACCTCATAATATGTTCTCATTTATCCAAAATGATTGGACAATATTGTAAGAAGTAATAACTTCCCAAGGTTTGGTGCTAGGTCTTTCCTTAAACACAGTGCTTTATATGTAGTGAGAATTTATTGTGAGAGTTATGCATGTGTTATTATTGTTCAGTTATTTTCAATCATGTCCTACTCTTTGTGACCCCACTTGGCATTTTCTTGGCAAAGGTACTGGAGTGGTTTACCATTTCCTTCTTTATAGAAATGTCATATATGCATTACTAATTTCCTTAAAATTAGACTACAATAAAGTACAATGGCATTGGCATAATTTTAAATCTTAGAATCAATCAACAAACATTTATTAATATCCTAATATTAATTCTATTAATATTAATATCCTACTATGTACTGTGATCAGTGCTGGTAGAACAACTACAAGCAATGAAACAAACGCTACTTATGTTTATGTGAGAAATTTATAATGAGAAATATAATGAGAAAACACCAGAATATATATAAGCATGTATAGAATAAATTGGTAGCTGTTTGGCACAGTGCATAGAGTGCTGGTCTGGAGTCAGGAAGACCTGAATTCAAATCCAGCCTCAGACACTTACTAGCTGAGTGACCCTGGGCAAGTCACTTAACCCTGTTTGCCTTAGTTTCCTCATCTGTAAAATGTACTAGAGAAGGAAATGGCAAACCATCCCAGTATCTTTGCCAAGATACTTTGTGGCCTAAATGGGATCGCAAAGAGTCGGACACAAACGAAGCCACAGAACGGCAACAACAGAATAAATATAAAGAGAATAAATCAAAATAGTTAAGTATAAGACAGTTTGGGAAGGAAGGCACTGTTATAGGGGATTAAGAAGGGTTTGAACTGACCTCTGGAAGGAAGAAAGGGATTCTGTGAGGCAGAGGTGAGGAGGAAATGCATCCCAGGCATGGCCAATGTCAAGGCATGGAGATGGTAGATGGAGTATCATGTCTTAAGAACAGAGAGAAGGCAGTTTGTCTGGATCACAGAGTAGGAGGGAACGTGAGGCTTACTGAGACTGCAAAGATATGTTGGGGCTTCGTTTGAAGTGCTTAAAAAGAAGAGCAATTGATATTTGGCTTAAAGGCAATTGTCACTGGAGTTTAGAAGAGGAGCAACATGGTCAGATCTGTGCTTAAGAAGACTGCTTTGGTAGCGGAGGATGGAATGAAATGGGGAAAGATTTGAGATAGGGAGACCAGATAGGAAGGGACCTGTTGAAATAATCTAGGTGAAAAGTGATGAGCACCTGAACTAACATGGTAGCTGGGTGAGTAAAGAGATGAGATTCAAGAGACATTGTGGGAGTAGAAATAGCAAGATTTGGTGACTGATTGGACACAGAGGTCACAAATCTGGGAGGCTGGAGGGATGGTGGTGCCTTCAGCAGAAATCAGGAAGATTAGAAGAAGGGAGGGTCTTAGAGGAAAGAGAAAGGTTCAGTTTTAGATGTGTTAAGTATGAGATTTGGGGAAAGGAGGTGAGAATATGAAATGATGTCCTGTTAAGGAATTGGGAAGAATAGAAGAAGTTCATATTAAATTGCCTCAATTTTCTCAGTGAAAAAAGAGGGGGCAAGTTGGAATTATCATTGCAAGGTTCTTAAGTGACTTTTGTCCCTAAACCTAATTTTTACCCTTTGACTTATTGGTGGCAGAAGTCACTGAAGAACCTTGTATGATTGTAATGATAATAATATTGATAGCCTGAATTATGTAACACATTAACATTTATAGAATGAGTGACAAATGTTAATTCACAAACAGCAGTTTTGATCATACCTTAGATAGCCTTTTAGAGAAAATTCTGGTATTTTGATTATCTCTTTGTTTGATTCTGGGTAAATGGGAAGGTTCTTTCATGTGGTATTTTGAAATGCACTGAATTGATTCCCAAAGGTAAGCACTTTGGATGCCTCTGACATCCATCACTTTGCTGTCCCCATTGACAAACAGAAGACAGGGTCATATGAGTGGGAACCAGTTGAGTGACTAGTCTTTGGGCAGTAGTGTGAAGGAAAATCAATAGGTCTATTTCATGTTATAGGACAGATGCTAAGCAAAAAGAGCCATCTCAATTCTTCTGTCCTCCACTTCTGTTAATCCTTCCCATCCTCCATTTTTTTTCCTGTTTCACTCCTCCTTTAGCTCTAGGCCTCAATCTGTAGCTTTCTTTTCCTTTCCCTTTTTCTCCTTTATTCTCCCTTGACTCTTCCCACTCTCCCTCCATCCTCCCTTCCATCAAAACAATTATATAAAACAAAACAGAAGATTGGAGAACTCAATAAATAATTTAAGGGGTTGCCGATAATGCTGTTTGGCCTCCCATCACCTACGCTGTCAGAACTTACTTTTCTGTAGCTTATTATCTTCTTTGATAGCAGAAACCCTGTAGTGTAACTTTATTGTGCAATGCCTAGCTAGTACTGAGCCTTGAAAACTCAGACACTAAGCATTTCAAGACTGGCTTGTTAATGTTGTTGGAGGCGAATGAATATAGGAGTGGAGAAGTCAGACAGAATAATAACCTGAAGGTGTAGCTGCTTGTGATTTCTTAAGTGATTGGAATCTGGAGAATAAGTCAATACCTCTGACTAATCATTTTCCTATCCTTGACAGCGGAATGTTCTATGATGGGAACCATACATATCTTATCGAGCCAGAAGAAAATGACACCTCCCAGGTATGCTTGGTTCCATTAGTCCAAGTGGAAGGCAAATGTTTTATTGGTCAAAGGCAATAAGTAATGCCAGCAGCTTTATGCATCTTCCTCCTTGCCCTTTTAAAATCTTGATATTGGATTTTAGGGAGGGGAGAGAAGGCAGGATTTAGGGGAATCTGGCCTGTGAGATTGAATATATTACCAGGAGGGCTTCTGAAGCTAACAGTCTATGAGATTTTCTGTGAGACTAGACATATTTTCTCTTTGAGGCTTCCTGAAACATCCTCTCCCTATATCACCCTATGTTTTCCCCAGATACCATTCCCCCTCCCCAAAGCTACTCATATTTGAAGTCTTTTTAAATTATTATTTTTTTAATTAACAAGATTCTATTTTTCTCTTCCTGTTTTCTTCCCCCTGTTTCCACTGGGGGAGGTGGGAAACAAAAACAAAATGCTCTTAACTAACTTGTAGAGTCAAGCAAAACAAAATTCCACATTGGCCATATCCAAAAAATGTCTCATTCTGTACCCTGAGTCAATCACCTTTCCCTCTGTCCAGAGGTAAGTAACATGGTTCCCTATTAAAATCTGAGGGTAGAAATGGCCCAAGACTCTTAGGACATCCTCTTCTTTTCCTTTGTTGTGATGGAAGATCTCCTCATCTGTAATTAGATAAAGATTGAGTTTATATCATTGACTACAGCTAAAAATAGGGTCCATTGCCATAAAGGAAAGCCAAGAATGTTTCCTTGCATCCTGCAGTAATGTTCAAATGACTTAGTCAAGCAAAATAATTATGATGAACCCACAAAGATTTTTCCATTCACTGGCAATCTTCTTTCAAAACCATCTTAATAATATAAATTTTTCCCTTCTGCCAACTGCTCACTGCATCATTATTTGGTGCGGTAATGCATCTTTGAGGGGATTTTGCAGATAACTCTTGACCATGGTGCTCATTCAGTAGTATCAAATTCTTAATAATCAGTATCATGAATAAATGGATGAAGAATAAGGAATTCTTTCTAAAGCCACTGATTGTTCTTAGAGGAGAAGAGTGCTGCGTTGTCTGTTTTCACCTCCCTTTGTATGACACTTTGATTTTAGTACAGTTTTTGCTTGAGACATTGATCATTTCCTTCGGAGCACCAGAGAGCTCTGGCGCAAATATTTCTGGGGAAAGGGGCACTTTTGAAAAGCCAGATCTTAAAGTGCAGCTATTCAAGGGAGACATGGTTTAAGGCTAAGAAGAAATCACATAATCTACAATGCAGATCTTTTCTTTAACTGGCAGTGTGACCCAGTAGAAACGTGCTGAACCTTTTACCCAAAAGTCAATGGACCAAAACCTTCTTCTGTTAGGGCAACTAGATGGCATAGTGGATAGACCACTGGGCTTGGAGTCAGGAAGACCTTTGTTCAAATCTAGCCTTAGGCATTTGCTAATGGACAAGTCACTTGATCTCTCTTGTCTCAGTTTCCTTATCTTTTAAATGAGGGAATTAGTCTCCATGGCCTCTAAGGTTCTTTCCAGCTCTAAATCCTGTGATCTTATGATTTCCAGTTGGCTCTTCCATGCAATCAAATTGATCAACTCATTTGTTTTCAGTGCTATAGCACCCATGTTATTAGAGTTTGGACTTCCAAGAAACAGGGCTCTAGATGGAGTCAGAGGCCCCAGTTTGACTCTCAACTCTGACACCTAAACCTCTGAGACTTTGGTCAAGTCCTTCATTACTTTGAGGCTCAGATTCTTCATTTGTAAAATGAGTGGGTTGGAGCAGGTGGACTAGATCACCTCTGAGTTCCCTTCCAATTCTACACCTAAATTCTGTGCTCCTGAGGTTAGTCAAAGACTCTTACCTCTTATGTAATGACTTGCACTTCGATAATGCTTTATGATTTGTGAAATGCTGTCCTCATGCTAACCCTGTAAAGTAGATAGTACCAATATTATTACCTCCAATTTTACAGATGAGGAAACTGAGGCTAGGAACTGTTAAATGAGTTACCTGTGCCTTCTTAATTCAAAAGTACTTACCTATTATGTCCTTATTTATCAGTCCAAGCTGAGATCTGAATCCAGATTTTCTCAATTCCAGGTCCACTATGCCACATTTCCCCCAAATAATTATTATTAATAATGATAATCAATAACTTATATAACACTTTATAGCTTATTATTTATCTTTGTGGTTATATATAGACAAGACTGTTGGAGTACAGAGAAGAGGATGGATGGTGCCTCATTTCCCCTCAAGGCCAAGACTGGGAATAGAATGAAAGCATGATGTTTCTAAATATATCCAGTTTTGTAGCCAATGTAGGGGATTGCCTGAGGCTGTGAGATGGTTTGTTTTCTATGCTTAAACTGTGCTGATTTGTGTTATTTCAGGAGGACTTCCATTTCCATTCAGTTTACAAATCCAAACTGTTTGAATATCCCTTGGATGACCTGCCATCTGGTATGATTCCCATCTGCTCACTTAAAAGTTCTTTATTATTTCGTTTCAGTGCCTTGGAACTAATCTGCATGGAGAATGTTGTTAGCCCCTGGTTGTTCATGAGAATTTCAGATGCAGAGTCATGCTGAAGTGTGAAGGAAAATACAAATTTCCTTTATGTTTATAATGCATTTGCTGGGGAAGGTATCCTGGGCAAACTGAAGGAAACCTCTTTAAATTAGATTCCATGCAAGCTAGCAATGAAGATGCTCAATTAGAGCAAGATTGGTTTATATCGATGGATTGTTTATATGTTCACATTTGATAAGTTACAAAATTGTAGTGAGCTGGCAAAAATAGTAAATGTTTTTCATCTAATTCTAAGAATTCTAAGAATTCTCCCCCTCCCTGCTATACTATATTATGCCTGTTGCACTAATACCTTACACCTAATTTTCTCTTGCTGGGGGCAAGGGGTTGCCCTGAACTTCTATAGTTTTAAGTTGCCTAGTTTGGAAATGGCTTCTTCCTCCCTTCAACCACCTATTCACCCATGATTGGGCAGTGTAGGTCAATGAATAGGCATCCAGAAGAGGTGTGTGGGGTAGTGGGAAAAGCCGGGGAATTGGAATCAAGAAACTTGATTCTGTCACCAATTAGTTATGTGACCTCAAACAAACTAATTAACCTTTCTGGACTTGCTTCTTTACTGGTAAAATGAAAGAGTTGGAATACGCTTCCTTACATCTCTCTGATCCAGTGATCTCTTGACCCTGTTACCAGCAGATACATGCCTTCACGAAATAGAATAATCCCTTTGAAGGATGTGCAAATGAGAAAAGTCAGCCGGTTAATGAGGGACCTCTATGAATGTACATGTATCATCCTACCACAAAACCCATCATGCTGCTGTTTCTGTGTTTTTGTGAAACTTCCCAGGATCCTTCTTATGTGAGGAGAATTAGTAATAACCATGAAACAGGAAACAAGAAATAGGCATGAAAACAAAGGTGTGATTTAATAAGCATTCCAGGGAGTGATATCTATCCAGTAAAGCAGTAATGATGTAGGACTAATGGTCCAAGTAATTAAGGACATTCTTCCCTCCTCTGATACTATTGGATTACCGACTTGCTAAAAGATGCTCTATAATTTCTCGTTGTCACCCAGGGTTCTTTTAAAGCAGGTAGTCTGTGTGATGACTTAGCAGTCCTGTCATTAGTATTAATGTCTATCAAACAGTTCCTTCTTCAGAAACTTGTCTTTGGATGAATTTAATTTCTATGTGCTCCCCTCCCATTCTTCTTTCTCTGTGGCATCCTACTGTTTTCTTCTCATTTATGAATTTGCCTGTCTTAGAAAGGCAGAATGCATTAATGGTAGCCTTTCATCTCTTGAGAAGTTTAGACATATGTCAATTAAGAGAAAAAGAAGTTCATTTGTGTACATTTCAGTAAATTTTGGTTTAGAAGAAGCACAAAACCTACTTTGAAAAGAAAATTTACTGCCCAGACCCAATAACACAATCAACCCTATTCTACTTCTATATAAGATAATAAGAAGGTTAAGGACATCCACTGTGGCTGTGCAGTACTTGAAACACCCACTATGGCCATATGGTAGCTATCTATACCGATACCTGGAAAAGAATTTCCTTTATCATGTTGCTGACACATGGTCATCTCACCATTGTTTCAAGACTTCCAGTTAGGGATAACTCACTGTCAGCCATAGTTGCCCATTCTACTTTGGGATATCTCTAATTGTTAGGAAGTTTTTCTAGACCTCAGCCCCAAATTTCCTTTTTTGCTACCAGCTGGTCCTTTGACTCCAAATCATCTAATGATCTTTTCACTATACTACAATGTAGTTCATTATCAATGGTGAGGAATTGCATGCAAAAATTATTCCAAATGATGACCCACCTCACAAATACAAGATGAGGGAAACACAGCTAGACAGCAGTGCATCTGAAAAAGATCTGGGGACCTTAGTGAACGCAAGCTCATTTGGCCTCAGTTCTGTCCTGAGGGTTGAAGATTCTTCTCCTATATGACATGTTTTTAATTACTTGAAGATAGCTATAACGACTTTCCTAAGTCTTCTAAAAATCTTCTGTTCCTTCAACCAGTTGTCATAGGGTATGAACTCAAGGTTGTTCGCCATCTTAGATGTCCTTCTCTGTCCACTTTCCGGCTTATCAATGTTCTTCCTATCAGGAGGTACCCAGAACTAAACATGGTACTCTAAATGTGCTCTGACTGAGGCAAAGTACTGCTGTGTAATGACTACTTAGTCCTGGATGCTATGCTATCTCTGTAGCTTTCTTGACAACTGTATCCCACTATTGTTCAGCTTGCATTCAGTAAGGTCCCCAGATCTTTTTCAGATGCACTGCTGTTTAGCTGTGTTTCCCCTATCTTGTATTTGTGAAGTGTTTCATTGGTTGGAAAAGTTTTTGCATACAGTTCCTCACTATGGATAATCAACTGCATTGTGGTGTAGTGAAAAGATCCTTGGATGATTTGGAATCAGAGGGCCTAGGTTTAAATCCCAGCTCTGCCACCTTAGTATCTTTGTGACCTCAGGCAAATCACTTAAACACTGTGGGCCTCAGTTTCCTTATCTGTAAAATGAGGGATTGGACTAGAAGGTGAATAAGGTCCCTTTTAGGGCTAAACTAATGATCCTAGAAGAACATTTGATAAAGGCAAGATAAAATCCAACTATTTCAGCATTATTGATTAATGTGAATTGGTCACATGGAACATGATAAGAGGTCAAATACATGGTATTTCTTGTAGTCCTAGCAAGTTTTCATAAGTAAATAGACAGATTCTTTCATATATTGCCCAACTGGTAAACTTGACCAAGAAGATATTTTGGCAAATATACTTAAAAGGAACCTTGCAACTTTAACTTTTACTTATTCTGAGAAGAAATCTTCTTATCCTGAGTAGAAATTTCTTTATTCTGAATATTCACTACTTTCCTTAGTGAATATTTGCCTAGAAATTTCAGAATTCTCTTAGTGTTACATAGATTGAGCATTTAGTGTGATTTTTTTCCCCATAAACATAGTACATGAATTATGTTTAGAAAATAAAATTAGCCACAGCCAGGGCTGTGGTATGAATTCAGTCAAACATTCAGTTCATCTACGTGAGTAGTGGAAATAATGATAATTGCAGGACATAGATCACATGGATAGCCCACCAAAGGGTTCCTTCACTCTGCCCTTTGAACCATCACGTTTTTAGAAGGTTAACAGCCCCATAGGGAAATTTGTAATATTTCATCTATTTCAATACAAATATTTCCCTATTTATATGCAAGATCCATAGTGTAGGTTATATACATACATGTAGTCTATGTGTAACTCTGCCCTGAGAATTGTCATGGGGCCTGCGGGTCTAGGGTTCTAAAGAGATTAGGATTAATGAGTATTATGTTGTTGGCAAAATGAGTTTGTTTGTTTTTTTTAAATCCAGAAATATAATTTCTCTACCAGAACAGATAGGCTAAATGAGCTACAGTTTGGAGTTTCAGAGTATGGAGACATTAAGTGATTTACGTGTGGTCACATTGCCCACATATGTCAGAAATGTGAGTTGAGCCCAGATCTTTCTGACTCCAAGGTGGACCCTGTTCCCTGTTGACTCTATCATGCTGGCTTGTGCAATGCTAGTATCCCTTCATCAACTCTTGCTTATTTGTGAGTTTTTGGTGTGGTTACAGGTTATTCAAGTTCATTTTCTTCTCATGCTCTCAATGTCCTCTATCCATTTCACTACTCTTTAAGATAAATGGTGGTTGATGTCAAAGATTAAAATCAAATTTTTTGGACAGTAGTATCTAATGAAGAGGTGATAGCCATTGGAGGGGTAAGCCAAAAATATTGGGGGTAAAATGAAGATCTCATGAGAAATTGTAGATTTTCTTTATGATCTCCAAGTGTATCATTATTGTGGAACAGTCAATATCTGGTTCTGCTTTTTTAACTGTTATTGGTGAGAGGTCTGGAATTGAAGTCAGAGGACCCCATACCTCTCACATTACCATTGTGATCTTGGGCAAATAACTTAATCCCTCTAGATATCAGTTCCTCATCTATAAAATGTGGGGTTCAGACTAGATAGCTTCTAAAGGCAGACCTTTTGAGTTCTAAATCTATCATCTTGTGAATGGGTTTGCTACCATCAGATGCATGATTGTTGTAGAATGACTAAGTGTAGGATATAGAAGAAGTTTTGGCACACCTATTATGATTGGTAAAATATAACTTGTTTTACTGTATTTCAGAATTTCAACAAATGAACATCACTTCTCCAAAGTTCGTTGTGAAACCAAGACTAAAAAGGAGTAAAAGGCAGGTAGGCATGTGCCAGTGCATATAATTACCTTGGCAACTGCTGATTTTGTGAACTCAAACTGAGTTTTTATGAGATGAGTGAGTACTTGTCGGTCAATGTGTTTAACAATGGTCAACAAGGATACTACCATGAGAATGTTTAAACAATACTATTCAGTAGTAATTATGATGGTGGTGATGGTAGTGATAATAGAGGAGAAAGAGAAGGAGAAGAAATCACAGAATTATGGGATTTTAGGAATTATAAGGGACTTCAGTGACCATTTCATCCAACCCTACCCCAAAAGGAATCCAGACTACAACATACCAGAGAAGTGGTTGTCCAGAGACCAAAGAACCTCTGAAGAAGAGGAATCCCAAGATTTCTGCAAGATTGTGATCATGAAGTTGGCAGATCTGGCTGAAGAATCCACAGTCTGACTCTAAATCCTGGGGTCTCATTTGTAGAGCATGACTTCAAAGTATGACCTCCTTGTCTCCCAAAAAGTTGGGAGATGGGAATTATGAGTTGAGATTAGTGATATCACTGCAACACTCCCTACTACAGTGATGATTGTGATTCTCACTCAAAAACAAGTAATAATAGGATTTTTTTATTCTGTCACCTTGGAACTCTGCTCTGGTCTACGTAATGAGGTCTACCTAGCTGGTGTTTATGTCTCTGTTGCACCTTGACCTTGAGAATGCACATCGGGACCCTAGGTTACTATTATCTCATTAGGCCTTAATGCTGTGCAGTAAAGAAAGCCAGGATTTAAACCTAGTGAATAAGATCTTATATTTAATGGTCTTTGGAGGGAAGTAGAATTGGGGAAATGCATTCCCAGTTAGACTAAGCAAGTTAGAGAAAAAAATTGAAATGAATCAAGATAATAATAGCAGCTGACATTTATATGTTTTGAAGTTGCCAAAGCCAACATATATTTCATCTGATCCTCATGACAGCACAATGAGGTATAGATAGTATCACTCTCATTGTGTATGTAAGGAGATTGTGGTTTGGAGAAATAAACAAACTTGGTGATCACATAGCTTGTGAGAACCAAAGGTGGAACTCATGTTTCTTTAGACTCTGAGTTCAACACTCTTTCCACTATACCATACTTCCTTTCCAAGATGGAGGCAGAATTGCCATCATGAAATTTTAAAGTTGGAAGGAAGCTGGATCATCTGATCCAATCTCTTTATTTTTACACATGAGAACACTGGGTCCTCAAAAGGTAAGGCTTATCCAAATCACCCAGCCAGCTACTTGCAAAGCTTGGCCTGAAACTTAGGACGCTGGCTCAGAGGAAGAAATAGCTGATTTTCTTGAGTTCATAAGATCATAAATTAATAGCTGGAAACTGTCTTATATATCAGGACATCCAAACTCTTCTTTTTACCGAAGAGGACCTGAGTTGCTGAGACATTACAAAGGTAATGCAAAGCCTATTGGGCATACCTCCCTACATTATTAAAAATAAAATAACTAAAATTTACAGGGACAGGCTGCTTTATTAACTTGTCATGTCCCAACCCTACATCCCAGAAAAACATAATTAGAAAGAAGCTTTAAACGGACCTTCTACAAAACAAAATTTTTGAGGAGTTTCATCTGACTATATTTAGTGTTATTCTTTTGTTTTCAAGCCTACAAGTACTGTCTGCATTTCTCTATTAATTTTAAATCATTATTTCTTCTAATATTTACCTATACAACCTGAATCGGCTTTAATTTTATTATTGATACTGAGAGGAGAGTAGTAATTATGCAAATTAATGAGTTCATGTACATTAGGCCTGTTGAGTTTTCCAGGTGGAAGACTACATGAATTAATATTATTGTTTTATTCTCATACATAAATGATTACTGTGTTCATTCTCTTGACACTACAGGGTATATACACAATCTTTGGCTCTAAATAGAAGAAAAATGTAAAAAAGACCTTCCCTCCCCCCAAAAAAGACTACATTATCATTTCCTGTTTGTTTCTCCCATCTTGATGTTGTTCTATAGGTAATTTTTCTAAGGCTTATTTAGAAAGCTGGGTTAAAAAAATATCATCTTGGCATTTGAGACCCTCTGCAGCATGGCACCATCTTGTTTTTTTTTTCTTGTATACTACTGTTCTCTTTAGAACATAATGTCCTCGTAGGCAGAGACTGTCTTTGTATCCCTTAGTCCCTGACATGCTAGGTACTTAATAAATGCTTGTTAATGGATTGATGGTACCCTGTGTACCAGCTAAGCTGGACTACTAACCATTCCCTGGGCTGTACTTTCCTGCCTCTGCTCATACTGTTCTTTAGGCCCGACCTTGCCTCTTTGATCCTCATCCTCCACCCAGTGAATTCCCAGCCATGCTTAAAAGCCCAACTCCGATGCCACGCCCTCCAAGAAGATTTGCCTGATGTTTACTCCAGCCTGTCCATTCCTAGAGCTAATATTAGCACATCCTCCCTCAGACCTCACCCAGCCCTGTGGTTATTCTTGTCTAGTGCACTTACTATCTTGTCATCACTCAGTTGTTTTCAATCATGTCCTGCTCTTCATGAACCCATTTCGGGTTTTCTTGGCAAAGCTTCTGCAGTGGCTTGCCGTTTCCTTCTCAAGCTCACTTTACAGATGAGGAAACTGAGGCAAACAGGGTGAAGTGACTTGCCCAGGGTCACACAGCTGGTAGGTATCTGAGACCAGATTTGGACTGCAGAAGATGATTCTTCTTGACTCCAGGTTGGGCCCTCTGTGCACTATGGCGTCACCCAGCTGCCCCACTTAGCATCTGTCACGTGATATTAGAGTGATTTTGGTGTGTCTCCACCTCCCCCCACCCCAGATTCAATGTTCTGCACACAGTAGGTATTTAATAGATGTTTGTTCTTGTTGTTTAATGTTTCTGCAGCTTCGTCGGCATCCACGCGATGTAGAAGAGGAAACAAAATATGTTGAACTGATGATCGTGAATGATCACCTGATGGTAGGACTTATTCTTCATTTGAAACCTATGCATGCTCTAGGGTAAGAATGGTGAAAGTCCCGTGGAGTCTAGAAGTGAAGTCTGGCGTGTTGTACTAAAGAGGGTGCTGAAGACAGGCGATGTGTATCCCTGTATTATCTAGCGGTAATAGGCAGTTCAGCTGTGTTCCCAAATGGAAGTAACCGCTGGCCACATTGAATGTAACATGATGGTTATAACCATGGTCATGGTATGTGACATCATGGATATAATAGAAATAGGACTGAATTTGAAGTCAGAAGACCTTGGTTTCAATCCTCTTTCTGACACTCATGGTGACCTTGGTCAAATCATTTCACCTTGATGTAAATGAGAAGGTAAACTCATTGATCCTAAAGATTCCTTCCACACCTAAATCCTAGAGCTCATTTCAGGTGGGCTTGAGTAGAATTAGTGTTGATATGTGCATTTCCTTTAAGACTAGATTAAAAAATAATGTTGTTGCTTTTCAATCATGTCTGATTCTTGGTGATCCCATTTGGGGTTTTCTTGGCAAAGATACTGGTTTGCCGTTTCCTTTTCCAGATCATTTTACAGATGAGGAAACTAAGATAAACCTTGCTGCCCTAAATAAAATAATACTTCAATATTTAAATGCATTTTCAACCTCATAGTTTCACATGAAATAAAATAATACTTCAATATTTAAATAGTTCTTCAATCGTATAGTTTCACATACTCCCTCCATCAGGGCAATTTGCAAAGCCATCACTGTCTTTTGGTTTTGTGCAATTCTTATCCATCCTTTTTTTCCCAAAAATTCCCCACAGCATATCTACCAAACATATTGGAGACATTTTGTAGGTAGAAGTTAGGATGTCCATCTGTTGCTGGTTTTTCTTGCTATACAACTGGACTATCTCCCTTCATACAGTTATCATATGCTTCCTTGAAAATATCCCTTATAGCACTTTCTGCCAAGAGGTTGTCGTAGGAAGTATGTTTTCTATTTTTTTCCCACACGTGTCTTTCCATTATTCTTTAGGTCATGTACAACTTTGATTCTTTGGAGAATATTGTATTCCAGTGTTCACAATCATGCATCATCACAATGCAACATTTGTGTTAGAAAGATGGGTTTTGTGGCAGCCTAGCATTGTTGAATATATTGCATAGTTTCCTCCTACTTGTTCTGGGCCCAGTTCATTGTCCACATGCAGGATGTGTTATAGATGGATAGAGAGAGAGAGAGAGAGAGAGAGAGAGAGAGAGAGAGAGAGAGAGAGAGAGAGAGAGAGAGAGAGAGAGAGAGAGAGAGAGAGGTAGATAGATAGATAGATAGATAGATAGATAGATAGATAGATAAATGGATGAATGGATGGATGGATGGATGGATGGAGAGATAGATAGGTAGGTAGGTAGGTAGGTAGGTAGATAGATAAATGGATGAATGGATGGATGGATGGAGAGATAGATAGGTAGGTAAGTAGGTAGGTAGATAGATAGGTAGATAGATAGATAGATAGATGGATGATGGATGGATGGATGGATGGATTATAGATAGTGATATACTAACTCTATGGACTGGCTATTCAACTTTGTGTTATAGTCTGGACAATAGGCATTTTTCATGTATTTTGTTTTTTTCCTGAGTGGATTGTTGGACCGATTTCTTTTGAGTAATCATCAATCTCATTGAGAAGGTCTCATAATGTTTTGGGGCTAGGTGCAACCAGCATAATACCATGTGCAAATAGGAGTATTTGGAAGACTTCACCATCTACAGGGGATACTACTTCCATCTCTATCTTGTACAAGATAATCTCCTTGACAGTGGTGAATAGACATCTTTGTGGAGCATACACATCCCTGTTTTACACCTTTCTTGAGATTAATAAACAGTGGGATATTGAATAGGATTATTGTTCTATGTTGCCTTTTGTCAAGGGACCTTATGTGAACTTAGTATCTGCATGAGAGATTCATTGTTGGAGGAGAAACTTTGATATTTTATCTTTCTCTGTTGAATCAAATGTAATTTTTGCCATCCAATAAATACCATAGCGTCTTGTATTCTCTGAACCTTCTGGGTATTCACATGACTAGAAGGTATGATTTGCTATAGCAAAACCGTTGGTGAAAGCCTGCCCCATTTTTTTTCTCATATGTGTGTATGGTTCGTTGTCATAGAGTTACAAAGATGACCAAGTAGAAATATGGGTTAGTGGTTACTGGTGTCTTTTTGATCATCTTTTTAGGAAATAAGTATTATACACAATTTCTCCCATTTTTTGGTATCTCCCCTTCCCTGACATATCTTGGAATATGACCCTTTAACACTTTTAAGCACCCAGCATTGATTCTTCAGCACATTTTTGATCTGATCTACCTTCTCTTTCTGTCTTGAGTACCACTTAAACTTCCTCATATAGCACATTCGGGATTAAGAGCTCCTTGAGGTCTTCCTCTAGGTCATTGGTTCTTAACCTGGGGTCCATCTCTGGACAGATTTCAGGGCATCCATGAACTTGATTGTGAAAGAATTACAGCTTTATTTTCACTAACCTCTTACTGAAATTCTGCATATCTTGCAGTTATTTTAAACATTACTCCGAGGTGTCATGGGTTTCATTAGAATGCCAAAGGGATGTATAACAAAAAAGTTGAGTATTTTTATATTTTGTGGGTGATTGATCCATCTCCTTTGCTGATGGTACATTTCCTTGAAGATGTCCCTTATTCTTACATGTAAATCATCTTAGGAAATAATTTGAAGCCTTTTTGTTCCTACCATGTATCCCTCCATTTGGGCAGCTAGGTGACACAGTGGATAGAATTCTGGGCCTAGAGTCAGGAAGACTCATTTTCCTAATTTTCAAATCTGGCTTCAGACCTTTACTAGCTGAGTGACCCTGGGTAAATGACTAACCTTGTTTGCCTTAGCTCCTCATCTGTAAAATGAGCTAGAGAAGGAAATAGCAAACCACTCTAGTATCCTTACCAAAAAAAAAGACCCCCAGTTGGGGTCACAAAGAGTCAGACATGGCTAAAACAACTGAACAACAACAAAGACATCTCTCCATTACCCAGTGGGCCAAATATGGTGGCTCCATTTTCAACAATAATGCAAATACACGTAGAATTGTTGACATGTCTGGTCCACATTCTGTCTGTTTCCTTGCTGCTCTTTTTTTCGTTGGATGCATATGCTGTTTGCATCGTTATTGCTCCATCTGATCTCATCAGGTTTTCTGTAGATTTGTCTCCTTTCATTGCTGTGCACTGGTTTGCGAAGTGATACTGCTTGTGATTTTACACCACCCTTCTCAATAGTGTTTTATAACTGAGTTTATACTCTAAACTGATGTCATCCTTGGCTGCCATCATGCTGTAATGACATTAAATGTTTGCTGGCTAAGGGTATTTGGAGACCCTTTTGGCCTCCTCACTTGGCAGCTGTTTCTGTTGTTTAAGGCAAGCTTTTGTAGGAATTAGTGATGAATTCTGTAAGTATCTTTGCCTTCTTCTATTCCCGTGATTTGGCCTTGATGGCTCATTTAAATGGGTACAGTTGAACTTGTTGCTATTGTATATGGTACTTTCTTCTCACCTTCTTTTTTTTCTAATCTGATATTGACTGTAACTTTTATTCTGATCATATACAGATGACTGTTTCTGAAATGACTGCTGCATCAGTAACCAATCATTTCACATGTGTTAAAATATAGTCCATTTCATTGTGTATGTGTGTGTGTGTTGCTGTTTGGTGCTCACCATATCCAGCACCTTTAGACTTTCTTCTGGAAGTAAGTATTTATAACATATACCCAAGAGGCTTCTGAGTATTTACAAGAATTTAACTTCTATCAGTTCTCAAACCTGAGCCCTATTTTCTGACATGCTTTTCACTATCTTCACCTGTGTCCATATTCACATTGAAGTCTCTTAGTATAAAGCATATGCTTGCCGGGTTTGAAGGATCTTGTTAAATTCTTCAAAGTATTTCTTTGCTTCTTCTGCAACAGCTGTTGGTGCTTAATCTGCAACTATCTTTATGGTGGTCTTTTTATTATGATCTTGCTTCTCCTGGGAGAACCTGTGAGCCATCTTTCCACTGAGCTACAATTTCCTCTTGTATTCTGGTTTTATGATGAGAATATCTATATTGACACCACTCGGTTCTACCAGTATTATGTCAGTTCATTGTTCACTATACACAGATTTCACATTTAGAATACCAACAGCTAAGTTAATGTTTATAGATGGTCTGAAATTATGGCACCCCTTCCTATCCTTCTACTACTCTGTGCAGAAAAGTAAAGGGACACACAGGATTGAAGGCTGGTTTGCTTAATTCCCAAGAAATGTTCAACAATGTCCACATTTCTGAATGTCACCTGATGAGTTCAGGTATGGGTGTATTGATTCACTGTGAGAATATGGATTAAAATGTTGGCACTAAAGGGGAAATGCTTTTTGCTAGTGAATTCCTTCATAGAACAACTCTCTCTCTCTCTCTCTCTCTCTCTCTCTCTCTCTCTCTCTCTCTCTCTGTCTCTCTCTTCACATGTGCACACACACACACACACACACACCCGATAACCACCTCCATCAGTCTCTTTTCCACACAGATTAGAGAGCTAGAGGGTGGAGTATTAAACTCCTCCCAATGCCTTTCTTTATAGAAGGTAAAAACCGGACTTTTGGTGTCAGTCTGTTCTGCTTCTGCAGCTCTGACCACTTTTAATTCCATGTACTTCATGGTGTCCCATTCCTTCCCTTCCTCGTTTCTTTTTGTGTGTTCTCTTCCCATTAGATTATAAGTTCCTTGAGGGCAGGGACTGCCTTTCTTTTTATTAATTGTATCCCCAGTGCTTAATATAGTGCCTGGTGCATAGTAGGCATTTAATAAATGTTTATTGGATTGGAGATACATATATGTATATTCATATATGTACATGTTGTTCCAATCTCTCTTTTCTGCCCCAAGTGTTTGTGTGCATGCGCACGTGCACACGCACGCGCACACACACACACACACACACACACACACACACACACACACTATAGAATGTAAGTTCTCTGAAAGCAGGGACTGTTTTACTTTTATCTTTATATCCTCAGGGATTAGCATAGTATTGGTATAAGGAGTACCCAGATGAAGAAACTCTGCCAATGTGGGTTGGCATCTTCTCAGTGTTTTGTAGTCTTAGAAGGTTGCCTAGGATACTGAGGGGTTGAGTGACTTGCCTATCTGTGTCAGAGCCAGGACCTTCTGGCTTTGATTCTACTCTCATTTCATTATCCCACACTGCTTCTTGTAGATTTGATAAGAACTTTGTTCTATTTTTTTTTGTTTGGACCTATGATTTCACTGAAATGACAAACGACTTCCATCACTGCAGATCAGCAATTCATCTGTAATTTATATTATATGTAATAATATGTCATTTATGTTATATGTAATTTATATAATTAGAGAAATGTCTGGGACCCTGAGAGTTTAAATAATTTGCCCAGGGTTACATGGCTAGGATATATCAAAGACTGAGCTTGACCATGTCTTCTTCACTCTAAAGCTAGCCCTTTGTCCACTACATAATACCACTCCTGATTTTGATATTGTAACCATAAAAGACAATTTAACTTTTGGCTGCTTTAAAAAATACTTTTGAAAAGATCAGAGAGTGGTTATTCCTACTAGTGTGTGATTGTTTCCTGAGATCACTAGGAAATGTTTCTGGGATTTTCAGACCAGCCTTCTGTCCTAGTCATAGCATTTTATCAGTTATAGGGCCTTAGAAAAAGAAGGATGGACATCATCTCATACAATCCTCTCTTTTTACAGATAAGGAAACTGAGGTAAAATGATTCATGCAGTGCCCCACAGTCAGAACAGTAGACCCCCCCAGTCTCTGAAACGTAGACCTATTGCCCACTTTCTGTGAGACTATGATATCTCTTTTCTGTTGGGGGGAAAATGTCTTTCAGAAATCTAGTTTAACTTTAAAATTTGCATTAATAACATAATTTCTAATCATATTTATGTTTTCTGACTTTTCCTTAGAGATGCTGATTTACTGATGTTTGACGTCAGAAACTCTTCACTTATTTTCTTTCATTTTCAGTTTAAAAAACATCGGCTGTCAGTGATGCATACAAATACCTATGCTAAATCCGTGGTGAACATGGCAGATTTAGTAAGTATAAATCCAGTTAAATGCCATTCTCAATAGGTTCTAAGTCATACTTGCTAATGATGCGAATAATACATCTTATCCTTTTATATTGTAACTGATGTGGATGGTGGAGATTTCAAATGAAGTCATGTGCTTTTCTGAAGTTTCTGGTAACCTTTTAATAGGCTTTCTAAACCCAAATCTGTGGCTGGGAGGATGGTCAAAAAGAGACCAAACTTGATGAGTTTATGTCTGTAATACCTTCTGTAGATTCTACCCATAATAAAGACAAGGGTTGATTTCTTCCCCAAAGGGCCACTCCAAATAGAGGAACCCAGAGATAGAGCCAGGTTCCTTCCACGTGAGAATGAAAACAAGACAGGGGCTGATACCTAGACCTCGGGTTCTTATGGTCTCAGCTACCATGGCTTACCTCTAAGGCTCACATACCCATGGTTTCTCCACAGCTTTTTAACAGCCATCATTAGGTATAAATGATTTACCCTGAGACTCTTCATTGTTTTGGTATTCTTCAGGGAAGCTTTAGACTGTCATACACTCTAAGATGGCAGCAAAGGGACACAAATTGGTTCCCTTATTAACAATGTCAGATCCTGGCATAACAAGATCCTTAAGTATTGTCCCCTGGTGTGTGATTAGTCATTGTGTTACTTAGGAGAAATATATGGAAATTAGGGAAAAGATACATCCCGACCCCATCATTTTTCCCTTCAAAATCAGCAGAGAATCCTTTCCTACAGTCCTGTCTTTCACCCCTCTCTCCACGCCAGCCATTTAAAACTCAAGAGGCTTCCTACCTCTAAAGGGCTTCCTCTAGATCTATTCATGTGTCCTTTGATATTACAACTTGTGTGTTCATTTCATTAATATACTAGATCTATAAGGAACAACTTAAGACAAGGATAGTGTTGGTTGCCATGGAAACCTGGGCAGCTGACAACAAGTTCACCATATCTGAAAAACCGCTGACAACCCTACGTGAGTTCATGAAATATCGGAAGGATTTTATCAAAGAGAAAAGCGATGCCGTCCACCTTTTCTCGTATGTCATTTCACATCATGTTTTACTGCTTTCTTTTCGCTATTCCCTTTTAAATCCATTGCTGTTTGTGATTGAGGTGTATCTTTGCCCCCCTCCCTGATTAGATAATTATGAATAATTATGCAAAAGCTATTTTGGTAACTTGGAGATTGGGAGATTGAAATGCATAGATTCTATTGTTTTTCATGTAAATTGAAGAGTCTTAATTTCAAGATATTTTTAATGGATAAACAGGCTTTCATTTTTGTGTATTCTTGTGTTTGTATCTTAAATGGCTATCACAATTCCTAGTGCGTAATAGGATGTTAATAAATGCTTATGGAATGATCCATTAACATCTACTTACTTTCATTTTTCCAGTGTCCACATAGCTAGGATTTCACGAGAGTGGGTTCTCTATGATATAATATCACACTTCTACCAAACATCTTCTCTCACTAAAAATGTGGCCTAGAGTACCTCCCGTGAATCTTTTAGGCAGCACAGGCTAGTGTTTTTCCTAAGCATGCCTGCCTTCTGGTACTTCTTCTGAAACTTCCTACCTGATAGCACAGTATTGGCAGGTCCATTTTGTATTTTTAGTAATTTTCTGAAACTTTTTTTTGATAGTGAAACATCAACTTTTTTCAGATCTATGATAGTTAGGAGTTGCCATAGAATTTATTCTCTTAATTATTCATTTGTTTATGTATTTATTCATCCATCTGTCTATTAATTAATTAGTTTGTTTATTTATTCATTTTTTTTTGAGACTGGGTCTCACTATTTCACCCAAACTGGAAGTGCAATGATCTGTCATGGACCAACCCCACTGCTGATTGTGAAAGAAGTTTTGACTTACTTTGTTTCACTCCTCATTAGGTAGCCAGTCCCTGCCATGCTCCCAGGGGCACCATATTGGTGCCAGACTTTCTGAGAATATATGATCAGCGTTAGCCCTGCTGCAGCTCAGAACTCCTAAACTCAAGCCATCCACTAGCCTCTGCCTAGGATTATCAATGTGCATCACTATGCCTGGCATTGTAGGATTTTTAAGAAATCATCTTCTAAAAGCACCCAAAAAGAATTCCATGGGGAAGTGGGGGAGAGAATTCTAGAAAGTGTTCTTCTGTTGAAGATGTTCCTCTTAATGGGCCTGCTAGTGAATGATTTGTTATTTTATGTCTGCATGCATAAAGATCCTTATCTCTCACAGGCTGATGCAGCATAGAAATGGTGACTTGCCATGAGTGAATAAATGTAGTAAATTAACACTTTGAGGTGCTGTGAAACTGTGGACAGTAAGCAATTTTTTGTTTGTTTGTTTCCTTTTCTAAAAGGGGAAGTCGATTTGAGAGTAGCCGGAGTGGGGCAGCTTATATTGGTGGCATTTGCTCGTTGCTGAAAGGAGGAGGAGTGAATGAAGTAGGTGTGCACATCTGGGTAATAGAAAGTGGTACTGAGGCCAAAAATCTTCCCACCATTTACAACACAATTACCGAATAGTCCATGACTTTCAGATATCCAGTTACTTGTGTTCATTGTTTATTAGTGTAGAACATTTAAAGGGGCAGAACATAGTGGATAGAAAGCTGGTTCAAATTCTACCCCTGACAGTTATAAGCTGTTTGACCTTGGGTAAGTGACTTAACCTTTCTGAAACTTCAGACAACTCTCTAAGACTAATTCATAAAGTTACAGATGCCGTTTGTCCTGACACTGCACTGTGGAAATCATAGATCCTTGATGTGTTGAGCACATCATCACTTCAAGGACTGGAAGACAGAACAGAAAAAGATTGTGGAAAACAATTTCTGTTTTCATTGTCCTAACTCTGTGTGACAATAGTTACTATGAAAAACATATTCTACTTAATAATAACCAATATTTATATAGTACTTTAAATGCTTTATAAATAAAATTTTCTTTGATCCTCACAACAACCCTGACATATAATAGTGTAATATAATATGTTACATTATATTATAATGTAATACAAATATAGTAATATTAACATTCTATTACCATGTTATATAATAGCATATAATAATAATAAAATGCTATTATTATGCCCATTTTACAGATGAGGAAACTGATACAGACAAAGGTTGGATGACTTGCCCAGGGTCCCACAGTTAGCAAATGTCTGTGGAAAAATTTGAACTGAGGTATTCCTGATTCCAGGTCCAATGCTCTATCTACTGAGCCACCTAGATGCCTACTTTTGTAAATTATGTAAGAAGTGAATAGGAAAAAAAAAGTATACGAAACTTAAGTTCTACCTGCATTCAATAAAGCCTTGTCTGTTCCTCAGAAATTCTTCAGAAAATTGAATCATTCTGTGGATGTCGTTACTGACTAGCAGATTTGGAATTCATTAACCCCCAGAGAATTTGGACACTTCTGAAGGAAAGCTTGACCACTGGCTTTTCATTAGTATTCTCCAAAGGCAATTTCTCTGGATAATATAAGGCTGAAATAAGTGAGCTAAGAGAATATCTTCTAGAACTTCTAGAACCATTGGGAGGTCAAGTATAAATTATATATTTATGATACTCCCCAACTTTGAAGAATGTTTTTTTTATTGACCAAGAACGAATTCAAATGTTCCTCTCAATCTCAGGCTTCTTTATATTGCATTTGCATCTAGACGCAATTGTGTTTTTTGGGGGGGAGAGGGAGGAAATATTTTGAATCTGGAAGTTTCCCAAGTGAGAATAGATTAACAAAGAACTCAAGGAAGATTTTCTCTACGCACTTCTACCTGACAGCAGCCCAGTTTTTTTTTTTATAGAAAAGTCACAATTTTCAGTTAGAGACAGGTGTCATTTGGCTTCAGTTTTAAATTAAGGTACCAACCCCAATAGATCAAAGCAAGATCAAACAAGTGACTTTTTGCTGTTTCCTTCAGCACAGTGCCTGGCACGTTGCTGGTGCATAATAAATGTTCATTAAATTGAATTCTCTCTGAATGCCCAATATTCTAGGTCAACTGAACGTGTTGAGCCTATGCTGAAGTAAATTCCTGAAATTTACTCAAGCTTGATCATATTCTGAGATCTTTTTTCTGGTCCAGTTTGATAAGAATGATGTTTTCCATATTTTGTTATTTGTTTGCTTTTTTCCTAGTTTGGGAAAACGGATTTAATGGCAGTCACTCTTGCCCAGTCATTAGCACATAATCTTGGTATTTTCTCAGACAAAAGAAAATTAGTAAGCGGTAAGTTTTAGAAATTTATTTATCAGTATATATTAGTATCAGTAAAGCATATATCAGTAACACTTTACACATAACTTTGTTTGGAAGAAAGTTTTATAAGTTTAAATTTGAGAATGGATACTGGAATTCAGATACCCACCTGAAAGCATTAGACTTTGCAAAGTAAGTAGCGGGGGGAAGTTATGGTTTTTGGTAAAATAGGAGTAATTAATATTTGTGATGGTAAAATAAAATAATATTTAAAATAAAATAGAATTTTGTAAAATAAAAACACATGACTACTATACTGATAATTTCACAGAAGCAATGTGAAATTGTAGATGGAGAGCCAGCCTTGAAGCCAGAAAGAATTGAGTTTAAATCCTGCCTTTGATACATATTGACTGTGTGATCTTGGGCAAGTCATTTAACCTCTAAGTGACTAGGCAACTCTCTCTGACTATAAGTTTCAATGAAGGTGCCAACCTGCATTGGTAAAGGGAGTTTTCTCATTTGGGAGTTCTCTTTACTAACGAAATCATGAATCTAGTACATGTTCCTAAAGCTTATGAGAATTCATAGTAGAGGTGAATGGGGGTAACTCTAAGGTCAGGCTGCTAATTTTCCAAAAATTGAATGGACAATCCTAGCTATGTGGTGCCACCTCATGGGGTATATATAATACTTTTTTTCAAATGAGTTTATATTTGTAAAGCTATTTAACATGGCAATATCTACAGACTAGGAATAATTAAGTACTTAATTCAAAACCGAATGAATTTCTTGCTTATTTTAAAATAAAGTTATTATTGTTCATGGGACCAGTAAAATTTGCTTAATAAATAGCTGCCAGGAAGTCAGATCTATCTGTTCACTTGTAATTGGATTTTGTCCATGAATAGTCAGTTTCACAGGTAGCCATGGCACAATTTACCTATATCTATATTTAGGAGGTGTCTTTTCTGCCTTGGCCCAAAGGATGCTCCCTCTGATCCCCACTCCCCACTCCCGTGCATAATTGTAATATCACCACATTGTTGTGAAGCTGGTCTCTCTAGAAGTATTTTGATTTTATTTAACATTTTGTTGGGAATTTAAAATCTTTAGAAGAAAAAAAAGTTTCAATAGAACATTCTGAATGAATATTTGCTTTGGTCAGGCTAAAGTGAATACTGAGGAAAAGACGGAATCATAAAAATTCCAGAGTACAGTATTTTAGTTAATCGATGTGTAGGGTGTTGGAAATGGGGGAACATATTTGAGGAGAGGGAGTCACTATATGTTGTTTGTAAGTTAGAAATGTCAGAAAAAAAATAATAACGAACAGTACTTTTGAAAAGATACTTTGAGGAAGGAGAATAAGCCAGAGATCTGTTTTTAAAATGGAAAGCTCTATAATGTATCTATTTGAGATGTGTTTTTATGTTTTTCTTAGGTGAGTGTAAGTGTGAAGACACATGGTCTGGATGCATAATGGGAGACACGGGGTAAGTGATTTCATTTTTTTATACTTTCACACATAAATGATAAGAAAACAATGCAATATTACTTGCATAGGTATGCTTTACTACTCAGAATTGTGATACTTAATAACCAGAATTAGGATTACTCCAGACAGGAAGCCTCACGATAGGTATTTATGGGAAATCGGAGTATTGTCTCTATGAAGATGACTCAGACACCTGTATTCTAGCTCTAGGCACTTTTCTGAGCTTTGGTGCCATATGACCAAAAGACCTATTTTAAACCAAATATAGCAGAGACATCTCCAACTCAACACAGCTTTTCTTCCAAACCTACCCGTCTATCAGATTCCTCTGTTTCTGTTGAGGGCATCACTGTGCTTCCTGTCACCCAGGTTTGTAACCTCTGACCTCATCCTGGCTCCCTGTTTCATTCCCCCATCATATCTAGTCAGTTACCAAATGTTGCCATTTCTGTCTCCATGACATTCTTCTAAGGATCCATCCCCCTCTACTCACTCTGCCATCAGTAGTGAAGGCTCTCATCACCTCTTGCCTTGACTAGGGCAATTGCCTCCCACTTCATCTCTCTGAGTCGAGCTGCTCCCCAGTCCCATCCATGCTCCCCACAATGTTATTTTCTTTAAATCTGCATTTAACCATGTCACTCATTTCTTCACACAACTCTGGTATCTACCCCTTTTCTGCAGTATAAAATGTAAAATGTTTTGGGTTTTTTTTTAAACCCACTGTAGCCTGACTGCAGGCTGTTTTTCCAGCCTTATTATACGTCATCCTCCTTCCTACACTCAGCAGTCCCTTCATACTGGCCTTCTTTCTGCTTCTCACAAAAGGTTCTCTATCTCCCATCTCAGTACCTTTGCACTGACTGTTCCTTCTGTCTGGGATGCCAGCCTTTCTTATCTCTTCTCAAGGATTCCCTCCCTTACTTCAAGATGCTCTTCAAGCTCCACATTCTGTGTGAAGCCTATCCTGATGCTCCCCGCTTCTAGACCTTTCCCCTCATAACTTTATTTTTAATTTCTTTTTATTTACTTTGCATTTATCCTGCACATATTGATTTTCATATATACTTCTATATGGACACATTGTCCCCCCACTAGGATAACTAACACAAAATTCAATTCGAATCCAGAAAAGTTTAATGATAACCTGCCATGTGTGGGAGCACTATACTAGGAATTCTAGGGGGTAGAAATAAGTAGAGTACTTAGTCTCTGCTCTTATGCCTCTTACAGACTATTTATAGAAACAGAGTAGGAAGGAAGGAAATAAAGAAGGAAGGAAGGAAGGAAGGAAGGAAGGAAGGAAGGAAGGAAGGAAGGAAGGAAGGAAGGGAGGAAGGGAGGAAGGAAGGAAGGAAGGAAGAAAGGGAGGGAGGGAGGGAGGAAGGAAGGAGGGAGGGAGGGAGGGAGGGAGGGAGGGAGGGAGGAAGGAAGGAAGGAAGGGAGGAGGAGGGAGGGAGGGAGGGAGGGAGGGAGGAAGGAAGGGAGGGAGGAAGGGAGGGAGGGAGGAGGGAGGGAGGGGAGGGAAGGGAGGGAGGGAGGGAGGGAGGAAGGGAGGAGGGAGGGAGGAAGGAAGGGAGTGAGGAAGGAAGAAAGGAGGGAAGGAAGGAAGGAAGGAAGGAAGGAAGGAAGGGAGGGAGGGAGGAAGGAAGGAAGGAAAGAAGGAAGGGAGGGAGGGAGGGAGGGAGGAAGGAAGGAAGGGAGGAAGGAAGGAAGGGAGGGAGGAAGGAAGGGAGGAAAGAAGGGAGGAAGGAAACGAGCATTTGTCAAACTCTGTACCAAATATGGTTCTACCTAAGCACTGTACAAATACAGTATTATCTCATTTTGTCCTTACAACAGTCCTAGGAGATAGATGCTGTTATTATTCATGTTTTATAGAAGAGGAAGTTGAGGCAGGCAGAAGTTAAGTGACTTGTCCACAGTCACACAGCTAATAAGTGTCTGAGACTGAATTTGAACTCAGGTCTTCCTAACTCCTTGGGCAGGTAAGTGGTGCAGTGGAGAGAGTGCAAGCCTTGGAATCACTCATTCAGACACTTACTAGCTGTGTGACCCTGTTTGCCTCAGTTTCCTCATTTGTAAAATGAGCTGGAGAAGGAAATGGCAAATCCTTCCAGTGTCTTTGCCAAGAAAACCCCAAACAGAGTTGTGAAGAGTCGGACAAGATTAATTAACTAAACAACAACAACAATTTCCCAACTCCAGGCCCAGCTTTCTATTCACTATTGCCAAGGATAGAAGAAAAGGCAAAAAAAGCAATGTAAAAGATAACAATAATAATAGTGGCCGCAAGCGGTCGATTGACAAGTGGTTAATAGACACAGAAAGATCAAGAGTGTAGGGATTTGAGAGCCTTCTAATCTTCCAATTCAATCTCAGAAGTCTGTATTAGATGCCTATGCTGAGCGAAGCACTGTCCTAAGCAATGGCAGAGGTTACAAAGACAAAACAAATAATACTTCCTGATCTCAAGGAGTTTGCATTCTCCTGGGGGTAAGGATGGGAGGGGTGGGAGGGAGCAGGGCTGAAAAGGATACAGCACATAGATAGATAGATAGACAGACAGACAGACAGACAGACAGACAGATAGATAGATGATAGGTAGATAGATAGATAGATAGATAGATAGATAGATAGATAGATAGGTAGATAGATAGGTGGATGGATGGATGGATAGATAGATAGATAGATAGATAGATAGATAGATAGATAGATAGGTAGATAGATAGATAGATGATAGGTAGATAGATAGGTAGATAGATAGGTAGATAGATAGGTGGATGGATGGATGGATAGATAGATAGATAGATAGACAGACAGACAGACAGACAGATAGATAGATAGATAGATAGATGATAGGTAGATAGATAGGTAGATAGATAGATAGGTGGATGGATGGGTGGATAGATAGATAGATAGATAGATAGATAGATGATAGGTAGATAGATAGATAGATAGGTGGATGGATGGGTAGATAGATAGGCAGACAGATAGATAGATAGATAGATAGATAGATAGATAGATAGATAGATAGATGATAGGTAGATAGATAGGTAGATAGATAGGTGGATGGATGGATGGATAGATAGATAGATAGATAGATGATAGGTAGATAGATAGGTAGATAGATAGGTGGATGGATGGATGGATAGATAGATAGATAGACAGACAGACAGACAGACAGACAGACAGATAGATAGATAGATGATAGGTAGATAGATAGGTAGATAGATAGATAGGTGGATGGATGGGTGGATAGATAGATAGATAGATAGATAGATAGATAGATAGATGATAGGTAGATAGATAGATAGGTGGATGGATGGGTGGATAGATAGATAGATAGATAGATAGATAGATAGATAGATGATAGGTAGATAGATAGGTAGATAGATAGGTAGATAGATAGGTGGATGGATGGATGGATAGATAGATAGATAGATAGATAGATAGATAGATAGATAGATGATAGGTAGATAGATAGGTAGATAGATAGGTAGATAGATAGGTGGATGGATGGATGGATAGATAGATAGATGATAGGTAGATAGATAGGTAGATAGATAGATAGGTGGATGGATGGGTGGATAGACAGACAGATAGATAGATAGATAGATAGATAGATAGATAGATAGATAGATAGATAAGTATTCAGTTGTTGTTTAGTCAGTTTTTACTTGTGTCTGACTCTTTGTGACCCTATTTGGGTTTTCTGGCAAAGATACTGGAGTAGTTTGTCATTTCCTTCTCCAGTTCATTTTACAGATGAGGAAACTGAGGCAAACAGGGTAAGTGACTTGCTGAGGGTTACACAGATAGTAAGTGCCTGAGGCCAGTTTTGAACTCAGGAAGATGAGTCTTCCTGACTCCAGGTCTGACACTCTGTGCACTATGGCATCACCTAGCTGCTCTAGATAAATGTATATATTTATGCATACATATATATTTATACACACACACATATAGGGTCATTTGAGGTGTGAGATCGCTCGGGGATTCTGGTAGTGGAGCTGAGTGGTGAAGGATACTTGGGAATCTGAGGAGCTCAGATAAGGGGGGAGCACCTTTCAGATATGAGGAAACCTTCCATGCAAAGGGATGGAGATGAAAGATGGAATACCTTGGTTTTTAAAAGGTAAACGTGGTACACCCACACTGTAAGAATATAAGGGAATCTAGAAATACAGCAATGTAGAAGGATGAGAATCAGTCCTAGTGTTTTGATTGCAAGCATCTATCAAATGACATGGAGGTAACATTAAAGTTTTCAGGCAGATTGCTCTGCTGTAAATGAGCCTCCTTCTCCTCCAGGTAGGGGCGCATGTGAGGCGAAACACATTCGTTTTCATATAAACCATTAAGAAGCCTTAAGCTACATCTTTCATGCATATGACCCATATGGCTTGAATAAAGGCATTGTGGATGAGTGGAAGCTGTCTTTTTCTTTCACTTTTAAGAGGAACGTACAATATAATTGTAACTACCAGCAAGGGAGAACAAAGGTACCCAACTACTGATTTTCTTGTTTCTTTCCAGCTATTACCTCCCGAAAAAGTTCTCTCAGTGCAACGTCGATGAGTATCATGACTTCTTAAATAATGGAGGTGGTGCCTGCCTCTTCAATAAACCGTCCAAGGTAGGAAAGCGAGTTCCCCTCACAGAGTGCAATGCCGAAAAGAGACCATTTATTTCCCATTCTTCTTCTGGGGTGGGGAACCTGCAGCCTCAAGGTCACATGTTGCCTTCTAGGTCCTGGGGTGCGGCCTTTTGACTGAGTCCAAGTTTTACAGAACAAACCTTTTTTTTTTCTTTTTAGGCAGCTGGGGCTAAGTGACTTGCCTAAGGTCACACAGCTAGTAAGTGTCAAGTGTTTGGTCTGATTTGAACTCAGGTCCTCCTGACTTCCGGGCCAGTGCTGTGCCACTGTGCCACCTAGCTGCCCCAACAAATCTTTTTATTAAGGAGATTTGTTCTGTGAAGTTTGGATTCATGCAAAGGACCTCACTTGAGGACCTAGAGGTTCCCCACCCCTGTTCTAGAGCTTCAGAAACATACATTCAAAGACATTTTATCTCCAGAGATAAAAGATTTCTGGTCAAGTCAATGATCCTCATTGTCTAGACAAGGCGAGACACCAACATCATCCTTTCTAGACCTGTGCTGGAGCTGGACCTAGAAGGATGAGAAGAAGGAACTAGAACCTGGGAAAGATTCACAAATGTAAGGGGAGAGGGCAAAGACCCTTTGGATTTGACTGGACGTAGCTGCATGTACAAGGCCAGGAATATGACTCCGAAGGTAGTAGAAATGAGGACCTTGCCTTCAGAGCTTGGTGTTGTGTCTGTGTTTACTGTATTTACTCATCTCTCGACAGGAGAGGACAGCAGTGACTAGGGTTGAGAAAACAGGGAACCCTGAACTCCCAAAGCAGTTGGATTCTTGTTGTTGTCAGTGGTGGTGGTAGTTCCAGTTGGACCTGTGATTTTACTGCTGTGGGGACTCTTAATAAGGAAATTCCTTCTAACAATTTATCTTGGCATCTACTTGGAAACTTAATGGCCTTAGAGAATTTTGGCAATTATTGGGCAAACAACCATGACTTAGCTTACAGCCTGAACTTGGGAGATTAAGAATGGGAAGTGTATGGAATCATCTCCATAAGCTAAGGGGAGGTTTCTGAATGAGGGGCTAAAGCCCTGGACTGGGTATGGGAATGCATTCAAAGCAAATACCATGCAAAGGGCATTAGCTAGCTGAACTTTGTACCCAGGGCTGAGAATCTCCTCTTGGAGACTGGCAAGAAGGTTCACTTTTGAAAAATTTCAATCTTGGTTTTATATGGACAAATGTTGACACAGATTTAAGTCGGAAAAACAACCTCACCTCAGTTTGCATTCTCAGATACTTTAGTGTGTGCGTGTGCGTGCGTGTGCGTGCGTGTGTGTGTTTTCTCAAAACGTGTGGTTTTTAATATTTTCATTAAAAGATACAAATGAAATGAACTCTGTGAGGAGAATCAAACACAAGACTCAGGCAAAGGGGCCCAAGGAGATTCTCAGATCAAAGGTCAAGTGCATCCTTATTCAGATGACTATGTCTTCATCCTGGCCCCCCAAAACAAGCATTTTATTTCAACTCTCTCTCTCTCTCTCTCTCTCTCTCTCTCTCTCTCTCTCTCTCTCTCTCTCTCTCTCTCTCTCTGTCTCTCTCTGTCTCTCTCTCTCTCTGTCTCACTGTCTGTCTCTCTCCTTCCTCCCTCTCTCTTCCTCTCTCTCCTCCTCCTTTTGTCTTTCTCTCCCTCCTTCTCTCTCTGTCTCACTGTCTCCCCCCGTCTCCTTCCTCCCTCTCTCTTCCTCTCTCTCCTCTTCCTTTTGTCTTTCTCTCCCTCCTTCTCTCTCTCTCTCTCTGTCTCACTCTCTGTCTCTGTCTCCCTCTCTCTGTCTCTCTTCTTCCTCCCTCTCTCTTCCTCTCTCTCCTCCTCCTTTTGTCTTTCTCTCCCTCCTTCTCTCTCTGTCTCACTGTCTCCCCCCCGTCTCCTTCCTCCCTCTCTCTTCCTCTCTCTCCTCTTCCTTTTGTCTTTCTCTCCCTCCTTCTCTCTCTCTCTCCCCCTCCTTTCTTTTTTTCTCTCTCTGTGCATGTGTGTGTGTGTGTGTTTCCTTTCTCATTTGGTTCTACTGCCAAGGCTTTTCCTGGTGCCTAATAAACACATTTGGGCTTTACCTCCGCACAGGGTGGCTGTTGACACATCCTCCAAGCTCTGTCATTATCCTTGCTCTGCCTTACAAGTACTTTACATTAGCAAAACCATTCTTCTTATTAAGAAGTCAAAATCTCTTGAAGGCAATGAGTAAAGAACTTTCCATACCATGTACTTGGCCACAGCTTATTAAATTCATAGAGAATGTTGTGGTCGCTGATTAGAGGCAAAAGTGGTACCAGTTGTTCTCATCAGGCATTTTGGATACATTTACATTTTAAGCTTTGTCCGGGCTAATTGTGTGAATTAGATTTTTGGCCTCTGTAGCTCACAGCGGTATGTGGAACTGCCTAGTAATCATTTCCTCTTTCATTCCACATGCCTTGCTAGGGAATTTAGAAATTGTATCACACTGGATTGCAGAACAGCCAACCCTTTCAAAAACCTCCGGGAGGTGAGGGGATGTAATGAGAGGAAACCACTGCTGCTTTTAACAGTGAAAGAGGCTGAGGGCTTTTTACTGAAACAGCTTTTGTCCCGAGTCCAAAACAAGTGAACAAATGTATCTTTCATCTGCATCACTTGCCATCCTAGGTTTTCAAAGCTGCCTCGCTTTCAACCTGGAGTGGAAAGTAAGGAACAGTCACTTCATTTGTGAAGGCAACACTGGGAATGGGGTCTTTCTGGGTGCAAGATTTTTAGATCTGGGTAGTTACAAAAGGCCGTATGTGTACATCTGAATTCCTGTTGTCTCTTTAGCGTGTGTTGTATTCCTGGTAAATTAAAAAAAAAACAACTCATTTTCAATTATAAAAATTTATTATTCACCAACTTTTCTTCCTATCTCCATGTCAAAGAACATAAAATAGGGTCAACAGAGTAAAAGTAAGCCAGTATGTTTTAATCACAAAGTAATAATGGCAGAGATAATGTGGCAGAATGGTAAGATGGACTGGATGGAATGTAATCTATTTGAGAGTAAGATTTCTTTCATTCTTGGTATTTCTATCTGTGGTGCAAAGAATTGATGCACAGTACATGATGATTGATTGACCAGACATGTCGTTTCCTGGGAAATTCCTCTACTAAGACATGTTGGTATCTCAGCTGCCTGGGCCTCTGAGAGGAGGAGTAGCTTGCCCAGGGGCAGGCTACCATTTTGGGTCAGAGGCAGGACTTGGAAGCCAGGTGTTCCTCTGTACCTGAGCCTGGCTTGCTAGGTGCTACACCATGCTGTCATTTAATAAGCATTTGTTCATTGATTGACCAGACTTGATGACCTCCTTCTACAAGTGAAACAACTTGTCCTTATTTACCATTTCAGATCAAAGGTGGATCTCCTAAGTGGGTCAGCTTTACAAACCCAAAACTCCCTTATGGAATTCTTTGTTTCTTTCAAAATTCTGCTCAAATGCTACCAGCCATTGAAGTTTCCTCCTGAATTGTTGCTAATGCCCTCCCTGAAAAAAAAAATATATATGTACACATACATACATATATATATGTATATACAGGACCTAGGAGATCATTTTATTCAGCTCCCTCATTTTATAGGGGACAAAATTAAGGTGTTAAGAATTGAAGGAACATGCCTAAGATCACGTGGAAAGTAAGGAGTGACAATAGGATTCAAACCCAGGACATTGGACTCTGTATCAAGTGCTTTTCCTATTGTACTCCCACTTGAAAAAAATCACAGTATGTATATGCCATTGACAGATTCCATCTGTGCCAAACTCACCTTCATGATTATTGAATCTCATTTTCCCCTGGATCCTATAAGAGAGATCTTTAACATTTGGATTTCCCTCCTGCAGTTATTAGATCCTCCCAAGTGTGGCAATGGCTTCATTGAGACCGGAGAAGAGTGTGACTGTGGCACACTTGCAGTAAGTACTTGGTGGTGGTGAGACAAACCTGAAATCCCCTGCCTTTCACACTAGGGTAGTGGAAGCCTAAAGAAGCATAGAAAATGCTTAGCATAGACATGCAGAGAAAAACTGTTTGGATATCTCATGGAAAGATGATCATTTGAGAGGGAGGAATAGAGTAAATTTAATTGAGGAATAAGATGCGTGTCTGATGTCGTGCGTGGTGCTTTACCAATGTTTATGTTTCTCAGGAGTGTGCCCGGGAAGGAGCAGATTGCTGTAAGAAGTGCACCTTGACAGAAGGCTCTCAGTGCAGTGATGGTCTCTGCTGTAAAAAGTGCAAGGTAAGAGAATGCTAGCTCTTAGCCAATTGACGGGAGGTGTTTAATTCACTGCAGGTCACGGAGAAGATGGGCACAGTCCTTCATGGGGAACATGGGCATACTATTTGAAATTAGGTCTTATTAGTCTCGCTACTGTACATAAATGGAAACCAGTATTCATTTAACCCTTCTTCCTTCCCGCTTTTTCTCCTCCTTTACCTTCCTTTGGAACTTATTTCCAGATCCCAGCTCTATTGCTAATTTCTCTTTGTGACCGTATCAAGTTACATAACTTCTTATCACCTTTGTTTCCTCAGCTGTAAAATAGTCAATCCATTAATAAATATTCATTAAGCCCCTACTATGTACCAGGCTCTGTGTTAAAGCACTGGGGATACAGAAAGAAACAAAGACAGTCCCTGTTCTCAGGAACTCATAATCTAATGGGGAAGACAACATGCAAACAGCTATGTACAAACAAGCTGTATACGAGAAAACCAGGAAATAATGAACAGAGAGAAAGCACTAGAATTAAGAGGGGTTGGGAGAGGCTTCCTGTAGAAGATGGGATTTTTAAAGAAAGCCAGGGAAGCAGAGAAGCCATATGGCAGAGATGAGGAGGGAAAACATTCCCAGCAGTCCATGAAAAGCCCAGAGCTAAGAGATGGAGTGTCTTCTTTATGGAACAGCAAAGAGGCTAGTGTCACTGGATTGAAGAGTAATGTGGTGGAGAGGAAGGTGTAAGAAGACTGGAAAGGCAGAAGGGGGCTACTTTTTGGAGGACTTTGAATACCAGAGGATTTTTTATTTGATCCTGGAGGTATCAGGGAACCAATGATGTTTATTGAGTAGGGGAGTGGCATAGTTGGACCTGCGCTTTAGGGAAATCACTTTGGCATCTGAATAAAGAATGGAACGGAGTGGGGAAGAGATGAGACAGGCACTGTCACCTGTAGCTGTTACAATAGTCCAGATGTGAGGAGAGGAGAGCCAGCACCAGTGTGATGGTGGTATTAGAGGAGAGAAATAAGGGTCTTGGCTGGGATGACTTCAAGGGGCTCTTCCATTTCTACATCTATGAACCTGTGATTCTCCTTCTGTGAGGCATTTTTTAAAAGCTTTCTATGGGCTCAGCCCCATTTTAGTTGAAATTAAGGGTGAAAAAAGAAGCTTAAGGCATAGGCGATTGAATATAAAATTTAGAGCTGGATTTTAGAGATCAACAACTCCAGCTTTCTCATTTTGCAAATGAGGAAACTGAGGCCTAGTTTTGGAAATGACCTAACCAAAAGGCACAGGTGGTAGAAGAACCCATTTCAGACCAGTTCTTCATCTTCCAAATTCAGGGCTTTCCCCACTAGACCACATAACTTTTTTTTTTCCACAGTGAAATTTTTCTCATCCTTTCAGTCTGAGAACTAAATGCTCTGGGCTCAGTAATTTTTGTCCTCTTTGCTATAATCTGTCTGTCTGCAAAGTACATTTTGGGGATTTATTTTATTCACTTCTTTGATTTATGTAATTGTTTCTTTTGCAATAAAATTATTTCAAAGTCCGAGGACAACAAAATATAAAAATGCCCAAAAGAGATTAGAGAAATGGTCCCTGTCCCTTAGAGGGCTTTTGATTTTATTAGGGAGACAAGAAAAACAGATAAAATGGCTAAATAGCAATGCAAGCCAGGCTATATGATGAACTGCCTAGTGAAAGATAATGCTTTGAATTTCTAAGAAGTTCAAGGTCAGTCTGGACAAGGCTGATGGGGAAAGGAAGGCTTCAAGGCTTCATCTCTAACAAACCTAAGGTTCAGGGCCCAAATCATAAGAGGATTGTTGCTCAGTCCAACTTAGGAAAAGACTTTCACTCCTTTTTAAAAATTATATATTTTTTATTTTATTTCAATTTTTTTTTGTTTGATGAGGAAATTGGGGTTAAGTGACTTGCCCAGGGTCACACAGCAAGTTCCAGGTGTTTGGTCTGAGGCTAGATTTGAGCTCAGGTGTTTCTGGCTCCAGGGCCGGTGCTCTATCTACCATGCGACCTAGTTGCCCCTTTCACTGCTTTTTGGATGCCAGATCATCTCATGCTTTCGTTTGTGTTCATGTTATATCCCTCAGTAGAATGGAAGAATCTTGAGGGCAAGCATTCCCAACTTGAGCCCTTACCACTTCCTTTATCACCATTCTGCTCCCTGAAGCCTCCTGCTAAGGTTAATTTGCTTGCCCTGTGACCCATAGATCTTTTTTCATAAATTGTGAACTAGTCCATGGTTTTGCATCTTTTTTATCTTGCTACAGAACCTGGTACAGTGCTGTTTACACTAGGGATCATGTAATGAATAAGCTTTGATTAACTGTCTGGCCTGGGTGGAGGCTGTTTGAATTTATCCCTTTGGGGCATCCCCTTAGGCCACTTTTGAGGACTGAAGGAAATAGTCGGGGGGTTTTTGCTGCCAACAAGACAGTAGAGAACCTCAGGTCCCTTCACATGCCCTGTGAAGCCAAGAGATTTGGCTAGATGTGTCCCATGCTAGGTTTTGGGCTCCTTCCAAGGCCTCTTTCCGCCACATGAAGGAGGTAGAAACACATTCCGGTCAGAATATGGCCATCAGTGTATTTTCTGGAGATTGCAGCCTGTGTATGCCTGCCTATACATCACTAAACGAGACTCAGGAAGCCGGGGACCATCTCCAACTTGATTCCTTTTTCACTGCATGATCTGGGCCCTGTTACGGCAATTTTCCCTGCTTTAATCATCTCAACTATAAAGCAAATTGTTTATTGTTGTTTTTTAAATTTGCTTCTTTGATTTACAGAATTGTGGTTTCAGTGATAAAAATCATTCCAGGACTCAGGAGCAGCAGAACACAAAAAATACACCAAACAGGGGAGCAACAATAACTCTCCCATAAAAGCCTGTTATAAAATGACTTTGAAAATGTAATAAAGTCACAGCTGGCCCCATGCTCTGCTGTCAGCAAACAAGGGCTCTGAAGGAGACAGGGTGGCAGAGGGGAAAAAATACTAGCTTTAAAGTCAGAAGATCTGTGTTCAAATCCTACCTTTGATGGTTAACTGTGTGACCTTGGGCAAGGCACTTAAACTCACTGGACCTCAGTTTCTCCAACTGTAAAGTGATGAGGTTAAACTAGATTGCCTCCGGGGTCCTTTCTGTATTTAGAGCCTATGAACATGTCTACAAATATGTCCAAGGTAATGAAGGAGAGAGCATTGAGAAGTAAGTAGATCAGGGTAGGCTTCACCTGAATGAGTCTTGAAAGGAGGTGAAGATTCTGTGAGAGGAGATGAGCCGGCTTATATTCCAGGCATGGAAGATAGCCTGTGTGAATGTGTGAAGGGCGTATTTATATAGTTCTTTCAGGTTTACAAAACGCTTTCTTCACGAGTAATATTTGAGGAGGCAGCTGGTAGAGCAACGGATGGAGCACCAAACTGGAACTCAAATCTGGCCTCAGACACTTACTAGTTAGGCAAGTCACTTAACCTCTGCCTCAGTTTCCTCAACTGTAAAATGGAGATAATAAATAGCAACCTGCCTCTCAGGCTTGTTGTGATGATCAAATCAGGGAATACTTGTAAAATCTCTTAGCATGGTACCTGGGACATAGTGGTCACTATGTAATTTCTTCCCTCTTCCATTAATATTGTCCCCATTTTTCAGGTAAGGAAATTGACAATCAAAGAGGCTCAGTGGCTTTGCCCAGGGTCACAAGGCTAATAAGTACCAGTACTCGAACCTGGGTTCCATATAGAATGGCATCTCAGAGTTGGAAGAAACTTAATTTCCACCCAAATCCAACCTATAATTAAAGCAGGAATCTTCTCCCCAACATCCCCAACAAGTGGCTGATTCTCCAGCCTCTGCTTGAAGACCTTGAGGATTTACTAACTACTAGGGCTGCCTTTTTGTACAGTCCATATCCGTATTTGAGCTGGAATTAACTTCTCTATGGCTTCCAACCATTGGGTTTAGTTCTGTCCTTGGCCCAAGGAAAATAAATAGAATCCTTCTTCCACTTGATACCCCTGTAAGATACTTCAAGACAGCTATCATGTCCCCGTTAAGTCTTCTCTAGGCTAAATTTTCCCAGGTACTTCAACCACTACTGGTTGGTGGGCATTGATTCACTTTTCTCTGTGTGCTTTGCAGTTTGTTAATTTCCTTTATAAAATGAGGTTCCTAGAAGAGAAGGGAACGAGCATTTATTAAGCACCTAACTATGTGTCAGGCACTGGGCTGAGCATTTTACAAATATCTCATTTGGTCTTCACAATAGCCCTTGGAGGTAGGTGCTGTTATTATCCCTATTTTACAGCTGAGGAAATTGAGGCAAACAGAGATTGAGTGACTTGCCAGGGTCATATAACTAGTAAGTGTCTGAGGCCATATTTGAACATAGGTCTTCCTGACTCCAGGCTCAGCATTCTATCCATAAATTCATAACATATCCTAATCATATCCATGGTCAAACTCTGAACCACCCTTATGTGGTTCAGATCCCCCTGAAATGCTTGTGTTATAGATGAAGAATTCTTAGTCACAGTTAAAAAATATATAAAATACCTCATAGAACCTGCAAAAGAAAATACAGTATTTGCCCCTAAAATTCTCTGACTTTCACAGAGCTTCATAGTAATAGCAAAAAGCACTTGTCTCCAAAGAGTAATTAAATTACCTCCATTTTGATATTTGAGATAAAACTGTTCAACTATTCTACCAGCATTTGCATTTAATGTTTCCAGGGGCTTTCAGCCTTTTCTTTGCTTCTTTTAGTTTCAACCTATGGGAACTGTATGCCGGGAAGCAGTGAATGATTGTGATATTCAGGAGACGTGTACGGGGAACTCCAGCCAGGTAATTTTCTTAAATAAGGCGTTCTCCAAATCTGAAAAAAAAAAAAAAAAGAAAAAGGAAGAGGGGGGGGAAAGAGTGGCACCCAGACAAGGTCTTGTATGGTTACCTTCAGGGCACTGATCCTCCAGAAAAATGTAAACCATGGAGACTCTCATGTTCCTCTCTCCTGTGACATCTAATTCCATCTATTTTTAGTCATTCCTCAGCAATCTTGGTTTCAGCTAACAGCCTAGGCAAGAGGAGAAGCTGCCCGCAACTTGGTTGTAAAACTAAGGCTGTGTTCAGGCCTTAAAGCATCTTTTTAAAGTAAAGAAGTATGCCATAGATTTACTTACATGTCCTTGATGAGGGGAAAAATAGGAAGGACTATATTTTTGTCTCATAATCCTTTAAAGTGGAGAGTCTACAGGAAACATACTCCCATAATGCATCTCTAGTCTGAAGGTGTTCCTATCTCTGACATTGACATGAACATGGTTTCTTCTGATAAAGCCCATTTATTGACTGGTCTTGAATTTAAAATAACTCAGTTAAAGACAGACTGTGATCATGTATGGTGGTGAATCTATAAATTTCAACATGAACAGTGTCTTTGCTTTAGGGGAAGAGGAATTTGGTAAGACTATATTTACTTAAGTCATGTAAGGATGTTTATTATTAAGGGATATGACTTCCTAGGAGATTAAGATTAATTGTCTTGCCTATTTAACATTCTCTCCAAGATATGTATTTGTAAAAATGTCTTGGTCATTTGTTTACTATTTTTCTACTTCAGATAATAGACTATACCCTGAAAAAAAATGTGTGAAATATCATTTTCCTTTTGTCAATCAATCAATAAGAATGTATTAAATAACTATTATGTACTAGGTGCTGGGAATACAAAGACAAAAAAAATACCTCCTACCTTCAAGGAGTTTATATTCTATCAGGGGAGAAAACGTATACTTTTATATAGGTATATACAAAATAAATAGAGTAATTTTGGTGGGGGTCAGAACAGGCATTAGCAGCAGGGATCAGGAAAGACCTCATGCAGATGGTTGCCCTCTGACCTGAGATTTGATCTTCTCAAGTCACCTACGTCCATTAATGATACACTCAGTAAGTCTTAGAAAGTAAGAGTAAAACAGTGGGTATTAAGTTGCACTAGTTATATCCATGACCCTGAAAACAAGGACAAAACTTAAACTCTTTCCCTCTCCATGTCTCCTTTTTCTCCTCTCTCTGTATGTCTCTTCATTTCTTTTTCCCTCTCTATAAATATATATAATCATATATTTATAATATTTGTATATTTGATATTATATATTTTATATTTACATAGTAATAGAAAGAATAATTAAAATTAAATTATATTTATATATATGTATACATACATATATGCACATGTATACATATACATAAGGATGGATGGATGGATGGATGGATGGATGGATGGATACATGCATGATGGATAGAAGGATGGAGAGAGTGGCAGGACAACATGCAAGCCTCCCTACCGAATGCCTAAAACAGATGCCTCTTGATTGCATTTTGCATGTAGAGACTGCCATAAGTCCCACAACTATAAAAAGGGGGCTCTTGCTCCATCCTTCTCTTTTTCTTGCCAGTTGTTTGGATGCAGATGCTGTTCCCACCATGGCCATGGGCACTCATGTGGGGCTCCACATGTGGCTAGATGCTGCCAGCTGTCAGTGCCCTCCATGCCCATCTGTCCAGTAATCTGCACTGATGTGTGTCTGAATGTGCTTTGCCCTTGTTTTCAGGGTCATCCGATGAAGTGAGTGGACTTAAAGAGATTTTATTTTTTACTATTACCTTCTCTTCCCTTATTGCATATCATTAAAGGATTGAAGTCAGGAGTCCTCAACCTGAGATCCATGGATCCCCAAGGGCTACATGGATGGATTTCAGGAAATCTGTGAACTTAGATGGGAAAAAGATTTATAGATTTATTTTTGCTAAGCTTTGGTTTGCATTGTAACACCAAATACTACATGTATTTAAAAACTTTCTTCTGAAAAAGGGTTCATGGGCTTCACCAGACTACTACTGGGGTCCATACCACACAAGAAGTTAAGAACCCCCAATTGAAGTACACGGTGGTAGTGGCCACTTTGACCACCTTTTGCGTCTTGGACAGTCAGGTTTTTCAGTAGTGGCCGCATAATTGGAAATCCGTGTATCTTCAGATTGTGTGCATAGAAGTATGTCATTAATTAAATGCAGCTGTAATTACAATTACTAATTGATTCAAGCCCTCTAGCATGGCACCTGGCTCTGTCACTTATACTGTGGTAGCATTGGATAGGTGATTAGGTCTTACTACCTTACCAGTTTGTGTGCGCTAGCTAGCTAGGTAAAAACATTTTTTTGTTGAAAATCTCAGGTGGGCCACATCCCAGGGTCGGTTGGGCTGCTTTCGACTTACAGGTTTTGCAGGTTTGACCACCTAGTCCTTTAAATTAGGACAGCTTCAAGGTTGTTTTCCAGATTATCATTGCTTGCCTTGTATTGTTTTGACGTGGCTGTTTTCTTCTCTCCTAGTGTGCCCCAAACGTCCATAAAACGGATGGCTATTCATGTGATAATTTCCAGGTAGGCAGCTCAGTTCTTGAATTTGATTTGTTTGAGTGCTTTGGAATGAAGGAAATATTGACATCAATCAAAATATCAGCATTATTTTAAACCCGTTGCAAGCAACTCTGGAGAATTAAACCCTTACATATTTCTTTTTTAAGAATTTGTCTATTTTATTTTTAATTTGTGGAATAAAACAAGCTTTTTCATGTATAATTTTTAAAAAGATGATTGCATATGAAATTGCAAATCTATTGTATACAACTTAATATTCCTTTTAAATATGTAATAAGGTTAACATGTAAATGTCTTTTTTTCTTTTTTCTTCCCTCCTCTGCCCCCATCCTAGAGATGAATATAAAGCCCTTATATATTCCTAAAGAAATATTTCTTCTTTATATTTTCTTTAGTCGTTGAATTACTCCCTATGTCCAAATGGTGTGGGAAGTTTCTGCACAATCTTTTTCATGTTATGTGTTTCAGGGCATTTGCTTTGGAGGAAGATGTAAAACCAGGGACAGACAGTGCAAGTACATCTGGGGGCAAAGTAAGTAAATGTGATTTCTGCTCCATGGGGTTCTGGTGGGCACGAGGCACACAGGCTAAATGGGCGCATTCCCTCTGTACCCCTGCAGAAGATCCTGCGGATCTGAAGGCCGTGACTGGAGGTTGCCACGAGAGGCGTCCCTGTCACATCACTTGTCCCAGAATCCATTTCACTACCAAGTTTGTTTCCTTTTATGTATTAGCTTGCTCTCCCAGACTTACATTGTGGAAAAAAAAAAGCTGTGAGTTCATAGTGCAACTACTTCCTGCCTTGTTGTCAAGGACAACCCTCCACACCTTCAGAGACAGTTTGCATCAGTTGGCCGTGGCCAGAAATGATCATCCCCAAATCACTAACCCTGTGGAGAGGAACCTTCTTGCACTCAGCTATGTGGGACCCATGGTGAAAACCAGCCTGTTACCTGACCTGTGCCCAAAGCTTTTCTGGCGTGGCAGGACTTGCCCAAACTGGCGCTCTCCTGGAATCATTTTGGAGTGCCTTGTGACCACTTGCACACCATTTAGCTTCTCTTAGACTTGGGTTGAGGAGGAGTGTGGCATAGTGTAATAAGTGTTGAAACTGGAGTCGGAGGACTTGGATTCATAGCCTGGATTGGCTATGTGACCTTGTGTGACCTTAGGCTGGTCAACCCCACCCCTTTCCTTGGGCCTTTGTTTCTTCATTTGTAAAATGAGGAAATTGGACTAGATGGTCTAGAAGGTTGCTTCCAGATCTACCTTCAATGGACCCGAATCCTAGGTCACCTTTGTCCTTCATACAACAGCTTTTCAAACAATTGAAGAAAGCTCTTCAGCTGTCTCTTCTCTAGGCTAGATATGTGTGTGTGTGTGTGTGTGTGTGTGTGTGTGTGTGTGAGAGAGAGAGAGAGAGAGAGAGAGAGAGAGAGAGAGAGAGAGAGAGAGAGAGAGAGAAAGAGAGAGAGAGAAAGCGCAAGGGTGAGAGAGAGGAAGAGAGAGAGAGCAGGGGTGAGAGAGAGGAAGACAGAGAGAGAGGGAAGAGAGAGGGAGACAAGAGAGACAGAATGGAAAGGAGGGAGAGGGGTAAAGAGAGAGAGAAGAGTGAGAGAGAGAGAGAGAGAGAAGAGAGAGTAAGAGAGAGAAAGAGAGAGAGAGCAGGGTGAGAGCGAGAGAAAGAGAGAGGGGTGAAGAGGAAGAGAGAGAGAGAGAGTGAAGAGAGAGAGAGAGAGAGAGAGAGAGAGAGAGAGAGAGAAGGAGGGAGTGAGGGAGAGAGAGGGAAGAGAGAGGGGGACAAGAGAGACAGAATGGAAAGGAGGAGAGGGTAAAGAGAGAGAGAGAGCAGGAGTGAGAGAGAGAAAGAGAGAGAGAGAGCAGGAGTAAGAGAGAGAAAGAGAGAGAGAGCAGGAGTGAGAGCGAGAGAAAGAGAGAGCAGGGGTGAGAGAAAGGAAGAGAGAGAGAGAGAGCAGGAGTGAGAGAGAGAGAGAGAGAAGGAGGGAGTGAGGGAGAGAGAGGGAAGAGAGAGGGGGACAAGAGAGACAGAATGGAAAGGAGGGAGAGGGGTAAAGAGAGAGAGAGAGCAGGAGTGAGAGAGAGAAAGAGAGAGAGAGAGCAGGAGTAAGAGAGAGAAAGAGAGAGAGAGCAGGAGTGAGAGCGAGAGAAAGAGAGAGCAGGGGTGAGAGAAAGGAAGAGAGAGAGAGAGCAGGAGTGAGAGAGAGAGAGAGAGAGAGAGAGAGAGAGAGAGAGAAGGAGGGAGTGAGGGAGAGAGAGGGAAGAGAGAGGGGGACAAGAGAGACAGAATGGAAAGGAGGGAGAGGGGTAAAGAGAGAGAGAGAGCAGGAGTGAGAGAAACGAAGAGAGAGAGAGAGAGAGAGAGCAGCAGTGTGTGTGTGTGTGTGTGTGTGTGTGAGAGAGAGAGAGAGAGAGAGAGAGAGAGAGAGAGAGAGAGAGAGAGAGAGAGAAGGAGGGAGTGAGGGAAAGAGAGAGAGGGAAGAGAGAGGGGGACAAGAGAGACAGAATGGAAAGGGGGAAGAGGGGTAAAGAGAGAGAGAGAGAGATTTGTTAGCCCTTCACTATCTTGGTTGACTTCCTCTGCTGCCATGATTATCATACCTTGCCTATTAGGTTTACAAAGTGCTTTCCTTGCAAACACATGCATTTCACTCCCAGGTATGTGAGATTTTCAGAATTGAAAATGTGCCTCTTATGCTGAGACCACAAAATTTAAAAATCTCAAGTTCTATTTAAATGCTATTTTAAATGGTCTGTTTTAGAAGAGGTTCTAGCTGTGTCTCACTTGATGACAGCTTAACCCTAATAGCTAGATGGTACAGTGGATAGAGTGCTGGGCCTGGAGTCAGGAAGATGCGTCTTCATGAGTTCAAATCTGGCCTCAGACACTAGATTTATGACCTTGGGCAAGTCACTTAAGGCTGTTTGCCTCAATTTCCTCATCTGTAAAAGAAGCGAGAAGGAAATGGCAAACCACCACATTATCTTTGCTATGAAAACCACAAATGGGGTCACGAAGAGTCAGACATGACTGAAAACAACTGAACAAAAACCAACCTTAACAATAGGCAAAGAACCCAGAAGGAAATTAGCTTAAGTATCATGCTTGTCATCCTATATCCCTTGAACTGACAGTGATGTCACAGTATTCCAACCCCGCTAGGGGCAAGGTTAATAAATATCTTACATTCTACTAGGCTTTTAACAGATTGTAGTAGTAGGGGTAAGAGGAAAGGGAGAGAAAGGAAGCCTGGAAACTAGATGACACAGTAGATACACTGCTGGATTTAGCATCAGTAAGAATCAAGTTCAGGGCCTTTTTTGAGTTCATATACATTGGCTACATGACTCTTGACAAGTCTTTTAAGTTTTCTCAACCTCAGTTTCCCCATATGTAAAATGGGGATAATAATGGTGTCTATCTCATAGGGTCATTGTAGGGATCAAATGAGATACATAAAGTGCTTTGCAAACCTTAACAGGCTATATGAATGCCAGTGACAGTGATGATGATGATTATGGTGGTGGTGGTGGTGATAGTAGTGGTGGTGATAATGGAGGAAGCATGATGCAGTGGAAAGATGTGGAATTCGGGGAGGGGGAGAAGAAGGTTAAAATTCTGGCACCAGCATTATCCAGCTGGATTATGGGAATCAAGTCACTTTGAGCCTCAGTTTCCTCATCTGTAAAGTAGGGATGGTCGAACTGTACATGCACTAGTCTCCTCATGGAGTTGTTGGAGGAAAGCAGTTTGTAAAGTATAGTTATGGTGCTGTTGATGGAAGAGGTGAGAAGACCCCATGTCACGTCATCTGTGACTGAAGGAACTAGGAACCCACTTCAGCCTGGAGAAGAGAGATTTACCTATGTGCAGGTTTGTGGAAGGGAGGACTAGGCATTTTGTGATATTCCGCAGGAAAGAGCTAGGACCAGTGGGCAAAAACTGTGATGGAAGGGGTACATTTCAATAAGATATGAAGGTGAATTTCCCAGTAATTGGAGCTGGCTGAGAACAGAGCAGGCTGTCATGAAGTAGGAAAGTTCTGGACATGGGAGGTGTGGTCACCTGGCCTCTGCCTGAACTTCTGAGGGGTGCCACGCTTTAGGAACACCAGAAGCCCTCTGAAATCACTCCCAAAACACTGATGCTAGGAATTACCTTCCCTCTTGGCATTCTAAGAATCCATTTCACACAGGAGTTTGGAATATTTTTAAAATCTAGCAAATGTGTTGAGAATATTCCTTTGACCAATGGATGAAGGTTTTGCTAGACTTCTGAGTGTTCAAAATTATTTTGTAGTTGATTGGGACATATTTCATTATCATGTTTCAGAGAGGTTTATTTCCCACATTCTGAGATAATTTTTTATTCTTAGTAAATTTGAAGTTATAAAGATTCAAATTTTGTGGGTACATCTTCCAAACACTCTTTCATGACTGACTTCCTTTCCCTCAACTTCTCTGGGACCTACTACTTAGTTAGAATCATTGCTTTCTTTAGAGCTTGGGATTTAATTTTTAAAAAAAGACCCAAAACATGAAATTCAGTTTGGGATCTTTGCCAGGCAAGACATCTGTCTTAGGTCTGTGTTTATTTTACTTTGCCAAATTTCAAACTGAGATCCATGAAACATAATCCCCACTTGAAAATGTGCATTAGCTACAAGTGATGTCCGAGGATCATTTTTTAAAAAGTCTTGCCATATTTGTCGAGAACTTTTTGAATGAGTGACCTGACAATTGGTCCAGTTCTGTAGCTCCACATTTCCCTTTGTGCCTGAGCTTGAGAAATTTCTACCTGCCCTGGTTTGCTAAAGAAGGCTACTTCTCTGTTTCAGAAGTGACTGCTTCTGATAAATACTGCTATGAAAAACTGAATATTGAAGGGACCGAGAAAGGCAACTGTGGGAGAGACAAAGACACTTGGATTCAGTGCAACAAACAGTAAGTTGGGGAAGTAGTTTGGGAATTTATTACCTAGTTTCTAACTAAATTTTGGAGGAACAGAATCTTACTATTGCACTTTTTTTTTTTGGCTTCTGGACTCCCTCCTGGAGCCAGAGAGTAATATAGAAGAAATCTAAACTTATTTGAGTATTGAGCATTCCTGTAGAGGGAATGGGTTTGTGCATGCAGAGCTTAAGTCCCCTCTTAGCATCTAAACACAGGAGATTGTATTCATTAAGCCATATTCCACTCTCCTCCCTTGCCCATGATACTCATTGGAGAGGCTCCTGCCCTACTAAAATGTCCCTCAGTTATCAGCACCAGGTGGAAGTAGTTAGGTGATGCCCTGGGTAGAGTGATGGAGAAGAACTGAGTTCAAATGTAGCCTCAGATATTTGTTAGCTATGTGAGTCTGGGAAAGCCACTTAACCTCTGTTTGCCTTAGTTTCCCTAATTGTAAAATGAGGCTAATCATGGCACCTACCTCACAGGGTGTTTATGAGGACCAAATGATGTGATATTTGTAAAGTGCTTAGCACAGGACCTGACACATAGTAGGTGCTTAATAAATACTTATTCCTCTCTTCCCTTCCTACTTTAATTGTTGTTTACATTATTCAGTAATTACATGCATCAGCATAACCTCTATCCCTCTTCAGTTTATCCTGGGTCTTGCTGCCTTTTATCTCTTGGTTGTAGCTATAATTCATTTATTATTTTCTTTTTTTCTCTTTCACATCTAATCTACCCCATTTCCAAGATAACCAGTCATCAATCTTTAGAATGCAGTCATAATAACTAGCAATAATCATCACTAGGTTTTATATCACACTTTAAAATTTGCAAGACATTTTACAAATATCTCCTTTTATCCTCACAACAACCCCAGGAAGTAGGTGCCATTATTATCCCCATTTTACAGATGAGGAAACTGAAGTTGACAGAAGATAAAGTGATTTGTTTAGGGTCATACAGATGGAAAGCATCTGAGGGGGGATTAGAACTCAGGTCTTCCTGTCTTCACGTCCAGTGGTCTATCCACTGTATTAACTAACTGCCTTTCTCCCAATAAGATGGGTTAGGGAGGGAGTAGAAGAAATTTTCACAACTCCCTTAAAACAACAGGGATATGCTCAGATTTTGTGTCTTTGGCCGTATAATTTCAGTCTTAACCTCTCTCCTAGATTCTAGTCTCATATTTCAGTGATCTGATGGAAATTCTCCTTGAATATCCTGAAAACTCAACATCTCTCACACTTTAACTGAACTCATCACCATCCTACTCAGAATTAACTCCTTCCTATTCCCAGTTACTCAGAATCATCTTTGACTCTTTTCTCTTTTTCCTTCCTCAGCAGAGTCCTGTTGACTCTTCCTTTTTATTTTTTTCATATCTGTCCCTTCCTATCTTTTTTCTTTTCTCTATTTCTTAAAAATGTTTTTACTAAAACATTTTGTTTTGACATTCAGTAACACTCAAAATCCTGACAAAGTGCATTCCCCAAATACAGCTAAGTAAAACTGCCTAATAGAATCATTGAAACTAATGATGCATTTCACTGTCTACTTTTATGATTTACTGATCATTAACATAAAGGAAATACAAGTGAACTTTAACCACTTAGCAACAAAGTCTATTGTCTTTATTTTGAATTTTGCTAACTTCCATTTTCAGTTACTTTCTTGTAGTCACTGGGTGTCATTTTCCTTTGGCATTGTTTCTTTCCTTCTGCATCACATAAGTCTTTTCATGATTCTGTGAAATCTTCATTACCATTGTTATTTTATGTTTCTTTTGTTTGTTGAATTTGGCATTTAAGACCCTGTTAATCTCTGATTTTCTTTGAATGAATATTTGAAAATACGTTCTTCTGCTAAAGGTCCATTTTCTTTCATGTAGAAATGTACTTAGCTTTGTAGGATATGTTATTTTAGAACGTAGACTGATTTCTTTTTATGTTAATTATGTCATATTTCTAGCTTTTTCTTTCATTTTATGTTATTAGTGAGTAGTCCTGCATAATCTGAACTGCTGTTCCTTGATATGTAAATTGGTATTTCTTGCATACTTAAAATTGAATCTAGATTTTTGGAAACTACATTTTTAGGTAAATTAAAATTGATATTCCGCTCTAATAAGGTCCTATTGATTTTCTTGACCTGAATTTTGCCTTCTCTTTCTAATACTTGTAGGCAATGTGGTATATGATTTCCTGAAAATTACATTCATGCTTTTTGATTCTGGGCAACCAGCAATTCTCAAATTTTCTCTCAGACTTGTCTTCCAAGTCTTCCATTGCTATAATTTATAGAGGCTTCATGTGTTCTAATTTTGCTTAGCTATCTATTACTTCATCTCTTTATTTTTGTTATCTTGATGCCATTTTTACAGAGTACTGTTTTATTAATATCTTTTGCCTTCTGCTCTAAACTGTCGGTTCTGATTTTTCGAATTTTAAGAGCTCTAATATTTCTCCTTATCTTTTCCTTTAATTATTGTATTATGTTTCCATCCTACTTTAGGGGTTCTTGCAATTTAAAATAAATTTTTTCTTTTATGTACATTTATAATCTGCCCTTTCACCTCTCAGTTGAACACAAAAAACCTTGAAAAATAATACTTCAGATTCTTGTGATTATTCTATTTGCATTTCTAAGAGTATAGTTGTTGTTTCCGAATTCTTTCTTTCTTCCAGAGATTTCTACTCACTTTATTATACCCCCTAGACTTTATTATGTATTTATTCAGGCTTCTTTGTTGTTTACCTAATTCTTCTGTCTCCTGGTTTTTCTTTTAGATTTTCCTTATTTGTTTTTTCCATTCCCTTCTTTTTGTTATTATTGTTTGTTCACTTTATTTGGCAGATTTATGGAGTGAAGGGAAACTGAGGTTGAAGCTGGCTTTTCTTTCACTCATCTTACTGGAAGGGCCCATTCTATAGGTTCTTGAGGAGGGACTGATCCTGCCTCTCTCCTAGTTCAGGTTTTTATCTTGTCTTGTTTGGGTTACACATAAGGCTCATAATTAACCTCCTTGTACTTTCTCCCCCCACCAAAAGTTAATCATTCAGTATACCAGAGGTGTCATACTCATGTCCTGTGAAAACTCCCGAGCGTGACCAGAATGAGATTAAAATGTAACTGGGAAATACTTAACAAAATAAGTAAAGAATACAGTGTAACACAGTTAATGCTGATTTGTGGTTTTCTAAGTCAGTATGCAGTCGTGGGGCTTTTTGAATTTGACTTCACCAGTCTTTACTTTATGTGATTTCCTCTGCCTCAATCACTGCTTGAATTGCGTTGTTCTCCTGTTTGAAAGCCTCATTAGGTTCCCATTGCTTACCAAATAGAGAACAAATATCTGCATCTGGCATCTTCCGTAATTTTTAGGCTTCCTCCGCTCAGCTAGACTCCAGATGAACTGGATTTCTTGTATTCCTGAACATGCTTCAGGCATCTCTGGAGAGCATGAGGAGAGCATGTGTGGAATTCTCTTCTCTCTTATCTCCTCTTCCATCTACTTATTAAAATCCTTCTCATCCACCAAGGCTGAACTCAAATTCTACCTCCTCTGTGAAGCCTTCCAAGATTGTTGTAGTCAAAAGTAGTTTCTCCTCTTTCTGAGGTACTTTCTGTACCTCTTTTGGTAACTGCCACATATTACCTTGTGCTACAGTGGATAGAGCCTGGAGTTAGGAAGACCTGAGTTCAAATTCTTCCTCAGACACTTACTAGCTGTATGGTCTTGGGCAGGTCACTTAACCCTGTTTGCCTCAGTTTCCTCATCCGTAAAATAAGAAGGAAATGGCAAAACACTCCAGTATCTTTGCCAGGAAAATCCTAAATGGACTCAGGAAGAGTCAGACACAATTGAAACAACTGAACAAATAACAAAAACCTTATGTTATAGTTGCATATACATATGTCTAATCTCCCTTTCTTCTAGGCTCTAAATTACTTTAAAGGTAGACACTCTCTCTAGTCTATTAATAATGTATTGTATCAGCTTTTTGTGGTGGCAAGGAATTGGAAGCTGGGAGGATGCCCATCAACTGGGAAAAAGCTGAACGAGTCATAGTATATGACTGTGATGAAATATTGTAAGAAATGAGGAGGGGGTGTTTTTGGAGAAATCTGTGAAGGTGTATGAACTGATGCAGAGTGAAGCCAGTAGAACAATTTCTATAATAACTACTATATTGTAAAGGCAAACAATTTGAAAGATTTAGGAGCCCTAGCAATATAATGAGCAAGCCTGTTTCCAGAGGGCTGATGATGAAATATGCTTTCCTTCCTGTTGATCCTGCCTCTATCCTAGTCCAGGCTTTTATCTTGTCTTTTTGGTTTGATCAAAGCCAATGCAGGTCTTTTCCTTGATTATAAAGTTTTTAACAGGGTTTAAGTTTTTCTTCCTTCTCAGTGGGGTTAGGGGTGGGCGAAGAAGAGAAAGGTGTCAGATCTCCATGGACATAAAATAAAATTTAATTTAAAAAATAATGTATGGCATCAGGTACAATCCCTTGACTATAAAAGATATTCGGTATCTATTGAATGAAGGGATAATTTTTTCGTGGAGGGTTGAAAGTTAAAGATTTTCATCAGTGTCAAAGGGACCTCTATGTTTTGCATAAATAGAAAGAAAATAAGGCTGAGTTAGTAGAATTTTTAGGATTTTTTTTGCTTGATGATATCCAAGTCTTCGTATTTTTTCCATTTAATGAAGTCTGATTTTTTCACATTCATCCTTGCTGTTTTATTCACCAATCTTCTGAATAACTATTAATGTCAAAATCTTTCATTAATATGTTAACATCATCAGGATTAAAACTGAAAATTCATTAATCATACAGAACATTTTAGACAGTATTTCCGACAGAGCAGAACAGTGAAAGTTTTCTTTTTTAAATATAAGAATATAATGTTATAATGAAAACAGAGAGTCAGAAGTAATTAGTAAAGGAAACTAAATAAGTAACAGTGTAGTTATGTAGGAGTGAATAAAAGAAAATTATGTATAAGGTACTCTTTAAAATGGGGGGCAGCTAAGTGGCGCAATGGATAGAGTGCTGGGCCTGGAGTAAGAAAGACATGAGTTCAAATCTAGCCTCAGATGCTTACTAGTTGTGTGACCCTGGATAAGTCACTTACCTCTGTTTACCTCAGTTTTCTCATCTGTAAAATGAGTTGGAGAAGGAAATGGCAAGTATCTTTGCCAAGAAAACCCAAATGGGGTCAAAAAGAGTTGGACATGGCTGAAAAAGACTGAACAACAAACAAAGCTCTTTAATACTCAGAGTGGAAGGTAAGATAAAATTATTCATTGTGAAAGAGGACTGTTCTTAAGGTCTTTGCTAAAAAGGAACTGGTTACATTGATAAGTTCATGTGGATGGAAATTTTGCTGCTAAGCAGTATTATGTAAAGGATAACTTAATTCGGTAGTCCTTAATTTGATTGAACAGTTCAGTGAAGTAAGTGCATAGAGCAAATACTTGAAAGCTTGCTGGTTGTGTCTGACCTCTGACCTAGAACACTGAGAGGCAAGCGATTGGACCTGGGTCACATAGCCAGTATGTATCAGGGCAGTATTTCAACCCAGGTCTTCTTGGCGCTAAGGCCATCTCTGAGGCCATATCCAGTATATGACACTGCCTTTTGTTAGAAGAAGTAGAGTATGCTGGCCTGGTTTATTTTCTTAGGATTTGAATGAATTCTGTAGTTAAACAAAAACAAGCACTATGGTATCATAATATGTTTCCCCTAAATTGGAATGCTCCGTGTAAATGATCAGCCATCCCTTTTAATAGTTATATCCAAGCTTCTCGGGTAGAAATAACCTGTCCAACCACTTTGTATATGAAGTAAGCAATTTGTGCCCTCTGTTGATTTAGGGATGTACTTTGTGGTTACCTCCTATGTACCAACATTGGTAACATTCCAAGGCTTGGTGAGCTAGATGGGGAAATCACATCCTCTCTAGTTGTGCAGCAGGGAAGGACATTAAACTGCAGGTAAGTAGAATGATTACCACCTTATTGTAAAGCAAAGCATGCAATGCCTCTTCCCTCCCACCCAGAACCTTGGAATCACCACTGTCTTCAATACTTCAAATGATTGGCTATTTGATTAGTGTGGGTTACCTCTTCAGCCAGCGCAGATTACAATCCTTCCATGACTGAGGAGATGAGTTCATAAGTTACTCCAAAACCTTCATCATCTGATAGCCTCCCGGAGGGTAATGACGCTGCCCTCTCAGTCTGGTCCCTGGATGACAGCCATTGGTAGCCTTGGACTTAAAGCATTTTTTAAGGTTTCCAAGGTAGATTCCTCCTCTTTGGAGGTCTTTGAGCAGAAACTGGACGGCCAGTTGTTGGGCACATTATTGTCGGAATTTCCTTCTTCTGTGGGTTGGATAAGATGGTCAGCTCTCCAATTCTGTGATTACCGGTGTGGTGGCATCTGCCAGAATTTGTGCTTGGCTGCTATGACCTTTAACATGGGTCACCTCCGTTGCATGATGAGACAATAGAATTGGGCTTTAGTCGGGAAAATGAATTATTTGTTAAAAATAAAACCACAGAAACCTTGTTCAAGGGGCCGTTGTTCAAATCAAAATAGAGTAGGAGAAAAGGCATTGAGTCACAGTAGGAAAAAAAAAAACAAACCAACCACCACTTTCTGTAGTCAGAGGATCTGAATTCAAATCTTACATCTGATATTACCTGTGTGACCTTGGGAAAGTCATTTAAACTTCTTGGGCCTCGGTTTCCCCAATAAATGAAGAGAGTGGACTAAATGGCTTCTGCTGCCTTTTCCAGCTATCTCTCTATACGATTCTATGAAAAAAGAAAAGAATCGTAAGATGATAGATTTAGAGTGAGAAGAGACCTTCAAGGTCATCTAGTCCAACCTCCTTATTTAAACAAATGGAGAAACTGAGGCCCAGAGAGGGACAAAATTGGGATTTGAACTCGGCTCCATTGATACCAAATCCCATTTCATGCTGCTGCTTCCCCCCTCCCCCCATTGTGTCTGGATTTGGACAACAACTTTTTGAACTACAGTCAAGTGGTTGTCAGCATGTGAGCCAGCACAAGAACAACTGTTCATCTTCTCAGGCCCAAATACAATGATTAAAATATATGTTTCCACTTCTTTTCACCTCGAGTCTTTCAAGCTTCAGTTTATCAGTTAGAGAGATTGCTTCTTCTTGTTTCATCTTTTCATGGATGATGAGTGGGGAGTTTTGAATTAATAGATCTATGAAACAATGATCATTTTTGATTGCTGAATTAACAAAATGGTGGCTGTATTAAATAGCTTCCCACTCATGTCTTCCTCTGATGTCTTGTTGGACTGGAGAGGAGACCTTGGCTCCTTGGAGGCTGTGCTAAACAGAGGGCTAAGACCAGCACATCCTACTTTGCTGTTGGGAGGGTTGTGACGTGACCCATCAATGGATTGTAATCCCAATTAAGGACCAGGCTAGCTAAATTTGGAAAGCTTCATCAACAGGTTGACTGCGACATGATGATTTTGGCCATGGAACTCTCAAAGGCTATTTACTACTGAGGTTCTCAACCTTGTTTGCATCATGGACCCCTTCGGCAATCTAGTGAAACCTATGGATCTCTTCTGAGAACAATATTTTTAAATTAGTAAGATAAAATACATAAGGATTACAAAGAAAACTAATTCTATTAAAATAAAGTTGTCAGAATATTGAAAAAACAAATTCAAGAACCCCGGGTTAAGATTTCCTCATTTACTAAGTCATGGAAGGGTTAGAATCTGTGATCATGAAGGAAATACTCCTGCTGATTAAATCTTTGACCCCCTAAGTATGGAATTACATTGAATAGCATTTTTATAATCATATAGTTCTATTATTGCCCCATTATAGAATATAATATTGTGAATGCAGAAATTTCTTTGAAAAAGGTAAGTTTTTATTTATTTTATTTTTTAAATTTATAGAATAAAACAAGGAAAAGGTAATTCAAAAAAACTTTCATCCTCAATGTTAGAACTGAAATGGACCTTAGCGAACCCACTTGGTTATAAGATTAGAATTTGGTGTTGAGCAGTAATTATGATTGACTTGGCCTTAGGTGATAAAAATTAAGTAGAAATTTGATTTCAGTTCTTATATCAATTGTGTTGATATATTAGAATGCATTGTTCTTGTTGATTACCCTACCAATTAGTTTAAAGATTAAGTTACTGCCATGCCTTTACATGTAGGAAGATGTACCATCGTTCTTCATTCTACTGTCTTTCTAAGGATAAACAGAATACAAATGCAGTGATATTAGTCATCATTTAGTTAATGAAGGTGGTTTCAAAATCAATTAAGGAATGAATATATATATCTTTAAAAACACACACACACACAATCTGCTCCAAAACATAACTACATTTTTTTAAAATATTGCTTACTTACTGTAGTGGTGGTCATGTTAAGCTTGAAGAAGAGATAGACCTTGGCTACGTTGAAGATGGGACACCATGTGGCCCCGAAATGATGTGCCTAGAACGTAGGTGTCTCCCTACTGCCTCTTTCAACTTCAGTACCTGCTTGAGTAAAAAAGAAAATGCGATTTGTTCAGGAAATGGGGTATGTTTGTGTATTATTTACTCTATCTTAATGTGAATTATGTATTTAATTTTTATCAGTGAAATGTATGGTCTTCAACAAGTTACTTAAACTCTCAGGACTCAGTTTATTGATCTATAAAACAACAGAATTAAGCTAGATTATCTTTAAGTTCCTTTGAATTCAAACTTTGTGATGTATACTCTGTGAAATGTGCCTGGTTCTAAACCAGTTATTTTTCCTGATTCTACGAAATAAACTAGATACTGAAAATTTACTAAGTAGCATATGAATATGAAATCCACATTGTGTCCTTCTACCATAACTATTGGGCAGCTAGGTGGTTTGATGGAGAGAGCACCAGGCCTGAGGTCAGGAAGACATCTTCCTGAGTTCAAATCTGGCCTCAGGCACTTACTAGCTATGTGACCTTGGGCAAGTCCCTTTACCCTGTTTGCCTCAGTTTCCTCATCTGTAAAGTGAGCAGGAGAAGGAAATGGCAAACCATTCCAGCATCTTTTGCCAAGCAAACCCCAAGTGAGGTCATGAGGAGCTGGACATGACTGAAAAACAGCAACTATAACTATTACTATTGCTTGACTGAGGGGGGAAAAGAAGTAAAAATTATTGTATCTAATTATAATCTCTGATTCTCCTCTCTCATCTATGTTAATGATATCTGATTTGCTTTACTTTGTTTTTTTTCTTTTTTAAATGAAGTAGGAGATGTAAAATTTCACAAGCTAAAATGGGATTGAAAAAGATAAGCATGTAATGCTTTGGGCAAATATTTTTTAACAATGAATAGAAAGGAAGGAAGCCTTTGATAAGCCATGTAACTGAGATTCAGGTGCAGTGAAGATGGGTTTTTGCTTGATCAATTAATCATTATAGTTTCTTGGATCATTGTTCTGGAATAAGCAAAGTACATATTTATTCCAGTTCTATACATTTCTATGTGTATTTATGAGAGATACACAGAGAAGTGTCTTAGTGATTTATTGTCTTGGGAACCATTGCCCCTTCCGAAGGAGGGTACCAGGAATTAGCTGTCACTCTCACAGTTACTATGGGCCACCAGCACTGAACAAGGTCTAGCTGATTCACCCCATGAGGGCAGAGCTCCAAGTCTTCCCGTCTTTCCTTTTTAAAATTTTTTTAAGGCAAACAGGGTTAAGTGACTTGCCCAGGGTCACACAGCTAGTAAAGTCAAGTGTTTGGTCTGAGGCCAAATTTGAACTCAGGTCCTCCTGACTTCAGAGCTGGTGCTCTTTCCATTGCGCCACCTAGCTGCCCCTCTTCCAGGAATTCTTGTTGGGTTTGTGTCCAATTGTACTTTTTAGGCTTTGCTTATATTTTAAAGTCATTACATTGTTCATGAATTAGTGACTTTCTCCAGCTCACGTAACTTGTCATCGGGCAAGATTCAACTTCGGGTCCTCTGCTTCCACCATCAGTTCTCTTTCTATCGTACTTGTTTCTATCTAGTGCTGGGATTGAAGAGAAAAGGTTGAGTTTTGTTCTTGTGCCAGAAACCTTCAGATACACATGTGAGCCACAAGCATGACCTTTCCTCCCTACTCAATGATCTGTAGCCCCAGCCTGAGTAGACCTGTCTTCCTTCTATGTCAGTTGTCTGGCTGTAATCTTAGCTCTCCTAGGTCTAGAACCCAAGACTTCTTTATCCTTTCAAGGACCCTTCTCTATGAGTTAATGGAAGATTTGCATGGATACTGTGGAACTGTCTCTGTTTCCATGTAGATTTCTCCATTATCTTCCTTTTGTGCTATAGCTGAAAGCAAAATCATCATTTTATAATTTTGCTTCATTTCTTCTAGGGATAATCATTGTTCTTTTTTTATGCCCCATTGTTTTCTGTAAGTTGATGTGAGAATGACTTGCAATTGAGGAATGAGAGAAGACTTTTTAGACACACGATGAATGAAATGAAGGATCAGGAAAAGATATCCTAAGGAAAATAAGTGTAATCATTGTTAATTTTTGTTGTTTGTAACATTGTATTATGATCTATTTATGTATGATTTTTATTCTCAATCCACATTTTGGCTTTCAGGTTTGCAGTAATGAAATAAAATGTGTCTGTAACAAGCATTGGATAGGTGCAGACTGTAATACTTATTTACCGTACAATGATGGCTCAAAATCTGATCTATCTGGGCCTGGCAATGGTAAGTACACACTTTAGTCTCAGTGAATTATAGTCCTCAAGAAGGGAGAACAAAAATATTGCCTCAGCATTGTCAACTAAATTATTATTTTTATAGTTACTTCAATCTGTACGTAACTGAGGTATACCTGGCAAAACTATTAACTGTCCTCAAATGATAACTGGTTTTCAGGGTTTATTGAATTAATTTTTTCTATAAATTTTGGATGATCTTGACTCTCAAAATGAAATTTTCAAACATGGAATGCTATGAGAATGTCATTAATTTGGATCAGTAATCTCTCCTGAAATTTCATTATGATAAATAAATCTTTTTTGTACTAACTTAATATTCCCCAACCATCAAATTTAAATGCAGGGTTCATGATTGATTTAAAATTTTTTTTGAGTATTTAAAAATCATCAACAAACAAAAACATTTTCATATGCAAAAATATTAAGAAAAAAGCCTATGAACATGTGAACTTCTGTATATATGCATACACACATGTATTTTTGTTGTTCAGTCATTTTTTTGGTCACGTCCAACTGTTTGTGATCCCATTTGGGGTTTTCTTGGCAAAGATACTGGAGTGGTTTGTCATTTCCTTCTCCATCTCATTTTACAGATGAGGAAACTGAGGCAAACAGGGTTAAGTGATTTGTCCAGAGCCACACAGCTAATAAGTGTCTAGGCCTGATCTGAACTGGGGAAGATGACCCAGCACTCCATCCACCACACCACCTAGCATATATGTGTAGAAGTTTAATAAAATACTAACAAAATTACTCTGTATCCATTTCTGCAGTCCTTTTTGATTTTTTTCTGTGAATTTTAAAAAATATTTTATTGGTGATCCTTTCTAAATATACATTTGTTGCCAGGAAGGGCTTTTATTGGAGCAATCAGTCAATTATCTAGCATTTATTAAGTGCCTACTATGTGCCAAGCATTGGGGATACAAAAAAAGGTGAAAAAAAAACCAGTTCATGCTCTCAAAGAGCTCATAGGATAATGCAGAAAAAAGTAAGTGAATGACTAATGATCAATACACCAAAAAAGAATATTTTTGTGACTATCTGGGGGGAAGTGTCATATCCAACCCTTGATTCTCTAACAAGAACTGCAGCATTTATTTTATAGCTTTCCTGTCTCACCAAAGCCAGACTGTGAGCTTAGTACAGGGATTGGCGCGTAGTAAGTGCTTCATGTAGAAATGCTTGTTGACTGCGACGTGACATGAGGTTTGGGGAGGAGCGGAAGAAGGCTTAATAATGTGCTGTTAAGAAGGAGGAAGAAGTTAAATGAAGCCAAGCAGTGCTCACATCATTCAGAACCCTGTAGACCTTCCTTGACAGTGAATGGACCCTTCCCAAATGTGTTGCTGCCTTTCAGTACATGAATACTTCACTGTAGGAAATGATACCCAAGGGACCAAAAGAATTGTTTCCCTTCCAAATAATGAGAGAAGTCATGAACTTTCTAATCCCCCAAACTAGGCCATCTTTTGCCTCAGTTCTTACCTGGCCTTTAATTATTGAATGGGCCAATGAGCCAATGCTCAGACAAACTGAGACCTGGGAAAGACCTTAGCTTAAAAAGGCCACTGCATCCGGGGCGTTGCCAGTTGTTTTGACCTGTGTGTTGCCACTGGACTCCCGTGACTCTGGAGGAGAGAGTGAGGCTGGTCACTTTGCACAGCCCTGCCTCACTTAAATTCAGTTCACTTGAGAGTCAAGACATCGCCCTCCTGACATCATTGGTCCTCTTTGAGAATGAAAGATGAACAATAACAACAATAACAGTTTTTTCATGAGCTCTTCCACATGGATTTATGAAGAAAAGGCGTTTCAAAGGTTGACACAGAAGAGCAAAGATTTACAATTGAATAGGGCCTTATATAACTCAATTAATCTAACCTTCATATTTCACAAATAAGGAGGGAGTAAGAGATTTCTTCAAAGTCACATAGGTATCAGAGAAAGCATTCAAAGCAAGGTAGATTTGGGCTGATTATAATATCATTAGTCATATAATAGCCATGAGAAATTAAAAAAACTCAGTTTCCTCATTTGGATTTATTCTTTCTCCATATATGATGGATAATTCACAATGTAAGACCTAGACTAGGGGCGGGGAACCTGCAGCCCAGAGGCCCCATGTGGCCTTCTAGATCCTCAAGTGCAGCCCCTTAACTAAGTCCAAACTTTACAGAACAAATCCCCTGAATAAAAGGATTTGTTCTGTAAAACATGGACTCAGTCAAAAGGCTGCACCCAAGGATCTAGAAGGCCACATGTGGCCTCAAGGCTGCAGGCTCCCCATCCTTGACATAGTGTCTTCTCTATATTTGTGCCTTGGGAATTATTCAGAATAACATTTGGAAGACTTCTTAGTTAAGATATTTAAATCACATTGAATAACCTTCAATGTATTTTTTTTTACAGGTGTTGCTGGCAAAATATCATAATAGGGATAATTACTGGCACTATTTTGGTGCTGGCTCTCATATTAGGAATAGCTGCATGGGGTTACAAGTAAGTAACATTTCTTGGTTTTGTTAATGCTGTGCTATACTTTAGGGAATACAGCTTTAAATGAACTCAAAAGTTTAAGTTTAATACCATTAAGTAAGTGAATATGGCTGGTCATTCCCAACCTGGTTGGAGATGTGATATTATTTGTTTAATTTTGTGACATGTTCTTTGCACTTAAAAGGGTTTCTATGGAATTTTTTAAAAATCAGAGTGAATGCAGTGTGAATGAAAATTAATGTGAACTTTGTGGCAGAGATGAGTGTGAAATGTCACTTTTCTCTTGCTTCAGGCTTATGCCTAGAATTCCAAGGAATGTGCCTATGGGTTAGATTGGTACTTACCCACTTTGTTTCTCTTAGAACACCAAGGATGGCTCAGTATTCATAAGCTCTAGAACTAGAAAGATCCTTCAAAGTCCAGAGGTGTGAAACTCACATCCAGGAGCCCATGGGAAATATTTAATAAAATAAATAAAAATACAATAAAACATAGATAATGTTAATTTGTAGTATTCTAGGTCAACATGTAGCCCACAGTTTCTGTTTTGAGTCTGACACCACTGATCTAGTCCAGCCTCTTGATTTTTATATGAGAAAACAAACATGCCCAGGGAGGTAAAATTATTCATTCAAATTGGGGAGAAGGTAAATACTTGAGTTAGGATTTGAACTCAGGTCCTTTCTTTTACTAACAGCAAACAAGTGACATATCAACTATCCCTAGATACTCTGGATATTATAGATTATTGTTATTTAATTTTAATTAATTAATTAATATTAATATTATACATAGATTATTACATACGAGCTTGGGAACCTTCTTCCTGCTCTTGCCTTGTTAATAAGTTTTTCAGCACTAGTTAGCTAATATTATCAAAGTGTTAAACAGAGGCTGAGGACGTGCTTCCCCTTTAAAGACTGTCCCAAGGCAGACATGGTGGGTGGCACACACCTACAATCCGTACTGCTAGGGAGTTTGGGGCTGGCAGATCACTTCAGCTCGGGAGTTTTGAGCTAGAGTAGACCCAGAGCCAATCCGGTGTCCGCACTAAGTCTGGAACCAATATGGTGGCCCCTAGGAGGAAGGAGGGGAGAACATGACTGCCTAAGGAGGGGGAAACCTGCCCAGGGAAGAATCAAAGAAGGTCAAAGCTTCCTGCTGATTTGCAGTAGAGTCAGCTGGACAGCAGCTGATACACTTCTGACTCGGGGGGATAGGAGGACCCAACCTCAAAAAACCAAGACTAACCCAACAAGAATAAAACTCATCCCACTCTTGATGTTCAGTTGCTTCTAGAAGTTCAAGTTCAAGGGCGAAGATATCTAGGACACAGAGAACTACTGAGCACAGGATCAGTCAGTCAATTGATCAATAAAGAAGGATTTATTAGGCACCTAGGTGGCACAGTGGATAGAGTGCCAGGCCTGGAGTCAAGATGACCTGAATTCAAATCCAGCCCCAGACACTAATGAGCTGTGTGACCCTCGGCAGTTTCCCCAACTGTAAAATGTGGGTAATAACAGCACCTACTTCCTGGGGTTGTTGTGTGGATCATCTGAGATAAAATTTGTGGAGGCTTAATAGTGCCTGGCACATTGTAGGCACTACATAAATTCGAATTCCCCTCCTTTTCCTTTCCCTGTTTACTGTGTGCTATACGATAGTGCTAGGAGTAGGGGATACCAGAACAGAAGTGAACCAATCCCTGCCCTCAGGAAACTTACATTCTACCATGGGAAAAAAATCAAGAATCTGAATAAAGTAATTTTGATCCAGATCTTCCTTCAGATCGATGCACTTATCACAATGTGTCAAACTAAGACTTTCTAAAAGAATGATGCCTATTCATTTACTGCACTTTTTGACCACAAAGGGTCGTGTATCCCTTTTCTCTAAAGCCCACACTCTGTCCTGACATTGACTTTGGCCCTGGAGCGCTGGGTCAACTTGCTTGGGTGAGGGTTGTTGGGGGGAGGAGACCATCACCGCTCCATGTTCAGAGCACTCGGGACCTCACCTCATCCATGGAGTCCTTTCAGGCCCTCATAGAAGAAGGTGAAACGTCCAAAGGATTACAACTTAGGTCTGCAATATCATTAGGACACCTTAGCTTTACCTTTGTTCACTCTCAAAGAAGCACGCAAATGAAATGCAAAACACCCTCCTGTAACCACAATGAGCCAATCATATATATCCACACACATGTGTGTGTGTATATATATCTATATATAGAGAGATATATAGATACACACCCTCTAGTAACTGCAATGGGCCAATTATATATATATGTGTGTGTATATATGCATGTGTATATATGTGTGTATATATGTATGTGTACGTATATGTACACACACACACACACATATACATATACATATAAACAACAATGGCCCAATTATGTATATGTATGTATATGTGTGTGTACATATCTATATCTATATCTAGTAACCACAATGGGCACATATATATGTATATATACATACATACACACACATATATATGTGTATATATGTATATATGAATGTATGTATGTATTAACCACAATGGGCCAATTATATATATATATATCTGTGTGTGTGTGTGTATATCTATATATCTATATATATATATATATATCTATATATCTATATCTATATATATATCTGTATATATATATATTCTTTTGAGAATTTGGTAACACTTCCTAAGATAGCTGGAAACTCTCTTGTGTTACAAAATTGGTGGTGGATCCCTGCCTCAGAAAAAATATTATCCAGGCCTATTGTTTGGGCTTCTTTTCTCCTGTGTTGACCTTAGGTTATCAACAATGTGGAAAGTTGACAATACATTTTTAAGAAATAGAAGAGTCATATCAAAATACTTCTCAAAAAGCCCCCTTTTCATGAGAATGCCATCATGGCCACAGGTCATAAAAATGATGGTGAAATCATATTGTATTTTTACAGTAAAATACACATCCCAGGAGGCCTTTGGGAAAATGACCTTTCTCAGGTCTGATGTCTGTCGAGAGCTCCTTTGTCTCTCAAGGACAACATTTCACCACAGAATATCTTTGGCATCCTGTAAATCCTTAAAATACAAGAATGACATTTGTAGAATAGTATAAGACAAATTCTTTAATTTGACAACAAAATCGTTTGGGGGAAGGAAGGGAGCCTTGTATTAGGTTTATGAAATTATAGAATCCCAGAAGTAAAGGAAAAGGTCTATGAGATACCACGTGCTAACAACAGACAATAACAACAGCTGTAACTTCATGAGCTGCCTATCACAAAAATCACAGTAGTACAATCCCTTGTACAAGACTGACCCACAGATTCATTTTACCAGTCTGACCATTTGAAGCAGAGCTGAAGATTCCAGTGGTTCTTAAACCAGGTGAAAGAGAGAAGGAAATTATTATTATTATTATTTTAATTATAGTTGATAATAATAATACTAACTAGCATTTATATAGCACTTTAAGGTTTGCAAGGTGCTTCACTGATATCTCATTTGATCCTCACAGCCCTGGGAAGAAGGTGATATTATTACCCCATTCTACCCTTTAGGAAACAGACAGATAGCAGTTCAGCTTGCTTGGGTGAGGGTTGTGGGGGGAAGAAGACCATCACTCTCACATACTTCATGCATGTGGGGAGGGCGAGGAGAAGATAGACAGATACTAGCTCTTTGGTGTCAAGATTCCCATAGTGATGTTCCCAAATTGTATATATATCATGAATTGTACAATCCTGTGACTCAGAGCCTGCTGATACAAAGCTTCCAAAGAGTACCAAAACACTACAATTATGAGTAGTGTCCTCCCTGATCTAGATGCATACGTAACTAATTATTGTTGTTGTTTTTTCCCTCCTCTCATCGATGGAAAGAAATTATCGAGAGCAGAGGTATGTGGTAAGAAAAACCCAAATATGCTATCCTAAAATGATTTACATCCTAAAAGGTTCTTGTCATCCAAGTTTCCTCCCATGGAGAGTATTCATTTTATTTTCTAACAAAGAAATAACATGGAAACTAATCTTGTTTTTCAATGTTTTCATAGAATCATAGAATCCTGGAATGTCAGAGCTGGAAGGAGCCATAGAGATCTTAGTTCAACATCCCTTTTTCCCCGACTTCAAATTTTTGGTTTTGCTATTGTTAAAATACTTTCATCTTAAAGATATTGAATTTTTAAATTTTGACTTTAGGGTTGCTGGAAAGTTTCCTTTTTAAAAATAGCTATCTTGCATTTTAGTGGTTAAATGATTCTATGAATTTCTTCTTTCATATTAAAACTAGTATATATTCTATTTTGTGTGGCTAATAGAGGGACCTTTATGGAAATTTGTTTTAAAATTTTATATTGAAAAAAGCTCCAGAAATTTGACTTGCTTTTGTATTTACATTTTTGACATTTCTCTATTTTTTCATAGTAACACTACATTTTTAGTTATATAGGTCAGCTTCCTTTCATGCAAGTCCTTCTGAAAAGGATTTTTTTTTATTAATATCATCTTCCATTTAAAGATGGCCAGATTTGCTTTGGGCACAATGTTGCTCTCAAGGAAATGTTCAGACACTCACAAAACTTCTTCCTGACTCTCTGCTCATACTTGCAAGAGAAAGTAATGTTTTATGTGTTATGTAAGTCTACAGGCCAATAATCTAATTTGGACAAGCTAAAAGCACTTTGACACATGAGGGTGTGAGCATCCCATGGGAATACTAGGCTTCGTGTTTCACAATAATTTCGCAGTTCTTATTTTAAAGTACAAATTGACCCTAGGTATTGATAGGAGTCCTCTAAGAATACCATATTGTCACAATATAAAGTAGACAATAAAATGGAAGGGTTTGATTTTTTATACACACACACACACACACACACACACATAAATATACATATATATATCTTTTCTTTTTTACATCACTTGGGATTTTCCTGATATTGGGATATTACTGACTATATCCTTTCCCTTCTCTTACCCAAAAAACCATCTATTGTAACAAAGAAAAAAGAGAGGAAAAAAAAGCAATCCAGCAAAACCACCCAACAGATGAGATGCCTGACAGTGTATGCGATATTCCACCCACATAGTGTACCACTTCTGCCAGGAAAGGAGAGATGTACATTTTCTTGACTCTTTAGAGGGCTAAGTTTATGTTTCACATTTTAACCATTTGATTGCTTTAAGATATATATAAAAATGCACATTACTTAACATTGCCTTTGAATTTGATCATTTCTACTCCCCTGCTCCTAGCAAATAACTAAGGTGCTATTAGAAATAAAGTAGAACCAATGTTGTTAACGCCTTGTCAGGCCCTAGCCTAACTTTCTCTTCACTCTTCTCATTCTTTGAAATTGTCTGAACTTTTAAAAATGAAATCATATTCATTATTTTCCCTTCCCTTCTCAGTGCTTTTGAAAGCAAACAAAACAAAAACAAACACCAGAGAGCCTTGAAAATTATGGATGGAAAATCCATAAGAAAATGTTCATTCAATGTCCATTATATACACATTATTATTTCAGTCTTGAGAAGAATGATAGGAAGAAGGTTGGAGCATATCATCCTTTATTAAAATAGTTTGCTACCCTTGTATTAATACTGATTAATATGTACTATCTTGTTTGAGCTGCAGGACAACCCTGTGAAGTAGGCAGTGCAAGTATTGTTATCTTCGTTTTACAGATGAGGAGACAGAGGTTGTAGAGGAGAAGGCATTTGCCCAAGGTGGCAGAGCTGGGTTACTCGAACACAATTTCTTTGTTCCAGGCCTAGGATATTTCTATTCCTAGGAGAAACTGCCTGCCTCCTTGCATTCAAATGCATCGCAGACTGTGGGGTAAAGATTAATCTAACTGTTTTTGTTGGGGTTTTTTTCTCTTCATAAAAAAGTACCTGGTTTATGTAAAAGCTGCTTCCTTGATGACAGATAATAGTCTTTATTTCCAAGGAGGCTTTCTACATGAGTTAGTACAGTTCATTAGCTGATTAAGTCTGGGACTAATTCTAAGAATTTAAAATAAAGTTCACTTAATATTTAGGCCAATGATAGTGATAAATGCTGCTAAACTAATCCCATTTTTTCTACCACAAATGGGCATGATACAAGGAGTATATGTATAAAGCAAGGATATTAACAATGACAGAGAGTGCTTACATTCATGTCATGCTTTTTAGCGTATGAAATACTTTGCATATAACATTAGTAAAATGCAGAACTAAATAGAAGACACAAAGAAAACGCTGAAGTCAGGTTTTCAGTGGGGAGGTTATCCAGATTAAGATGACCTCCATTCTCCAAAATCTCTTACTGTAAAGGAAACAAGTGAGCCATTTATAGCCTCTCCATACCCCCTTGCTACATTGTCAAGGTGTGCAACAGTTACAGCGAGGAATTTATTCACTTAGAATCTTCCCTTCCCATCTCTCTAAAATTGAGCAGTCCGTTGAGGTATTCAGTGGACTCTAGTCAGGATTCCACCCACATGGCCATTTGTGTCTGGTTTCTAATTTAAGGCTCCCTCTGGGCTCATCCACAGATGAGTATCATGTTTATTTCAGTATACCCTCACCTCTATCACTTCCCATCCCCCTTCTTTGTCTCTGGCTGTTGAATCCTGAATTTATGCATTAGTTCTCAAGTTGCAAGGAGAACTGGGATTCAGGCAAGATGGTTGAGATGCTTTTTGCATCTTAAAGTGGTACATAAATGTCACTATTATTCTGAGACAAAGCTTGCCCCCCTTACATAAAATATAGATGTGTGGCAGACACCCAAAAGCTTGAACCACTAACAGAAGGAGGTGGTATGTAAAGAGCCTTAAAAGAGAAGTACTTTTATAGTCATTTAAACTCATATCTGCCTAGTTACTAAAGAAACAAGAAACAGAAATATGACATTTGACTTTTTATTGCCCTTTTGGCTAGGCTTTCATGGGTTTGCTGGTCTCGTGACGATTCTTGTGCTCTCTTAGGCTTGATAAGAAAGGGTAGATATGTGGAGTTAGGAAAGAATGGAAGTGGCTTTCAGTGAGGTCCCCGTAGATATGTTAAGCTGTTAGAAATGTGGGTGAGCCTGGCATTTTTCTTGAAACTGTCTGTAAGAGACGAGGGGAGATTAAGTGATGCTCAGGCTCTTTCTTGGTGGTTTGATGCCACTGAAATGCTAAATTAGGTATACTAGACAGTTGGAGGAAGAAGGAAAGTAAATAATTCTATGGATGTATCTGATGAATAATAATTCCTACGGAAAACTCATCCTCAGTATCTGAATTTAGTTCAGTTCAGTAAATTTTTATGCTGACCATGAGCCTGCCTTGGAGCAACACAAGACCTGGGTTCAAATGCTGACCCTTGCATAAGCTAGCTGTGTGAGGAGAAACACTTAACTTCTCATGGCCCCTGGCATCTCTGTTTCTCTCTGAGGCCATCATGTTACAAATAAGTTGTAGGTTTGTGTTAATGGAGAGAGTTTCCATAGTAGAGGTACCCCTATTGATGGAATTACAGGTCTGGACCCACCAAAAAAGGAAAAGAAACAGAGCAAGACAATAAGACTCTTAAGGTGTGCCCCATATGCCTTCAAAGGCAAGTCTGAAGGAAGGCTGAGATTTCTAAGCACCATTGACATCTCCCTCCCTTCAGCCACTCAATCGGTTGTGAAGGAAATGAGAGTCCTTTCTATAGTCACTGTGAAAATGACCCCAAATGCCGCTGTAAATGTAGAGAACCAATTTATGTAGCTCTGTGCTACATAAAGCCATAGGATTAGCGGCCTGGAAAGTAGCCTGAGAACTCATTTGGTCCACAGGGATGACTCCTTATCCCACTATTTTAAGCCTTCTGACTTCCCATGTCCCCTATAGATTATTCTTTGCTTGTGTGCTTTAGAATAGACTTAGCAGCAATATGTAAATTTTCTTATACTGAGACACAGCAATACAAATATCTGCAGAAGTAAGAGATCTGGCCTTGGAGAGAGGAAGTCCTGGATTCAAGATCTGTCTCTGGCACATACTGGCTATGGGACCCTGAGCAAGTTTCTCTAGAGCTAGGTGACTCTCTAAGATTGTGCAACAGAGGTACTTAACCTGTTTTGGTGGATGAAGTTTCCTTACCTGGGAGTTCTCTGGGCCACTGAATGATAGGTCCATTCCCTATCCCTATTCATTTTGCAATAGGAGTTTAGGCTTTCTACTTTTGATAATAGTTTATGAATGGTGCATCAACATCATAGGCTCATAAAAGCAAACAGTTTGATTTGGAGATTCATGGTTTCATATAGAATTCTCTTTTTTGTGTGGTTTGTTGCATATATGGAAATGCTCTATTTTTAAAAATTTTAAAGTGGAAAAAACCCAAAAATTAAAAGTCATAGGCTCGTAGATCTGGACCTGGAAGGGAACTTAGATGTCACTTAGTCTGGTGATGTCAAGCTCAAATAGAAATGGGAATGCTTGTTTTATTTCTTAAGTTCAGAATAAGATAAAATTAAATTAAAAAAGAAGAAACAGAGGCCACTACACTCTACATGAAGATCTCTGCAGGCTGCATATTGACCTAGAAAACCACAAATTAACCTTATCTATGTTTAATTATATTTTTATTTCTTTTGTTAAATATTTCCCAATTACATTTTAATCTGGTTCAGGAGGCCTGGTGGTTCCCTCTGATCTAGTCCAACTTGTTCATTTTATAGATGAGGAAATGGAGGCCTAGAGAGGTGAAGCAGCTCACCCCAGGTCACACAAGCAGTACATGGGAGTCCTAGGCTTTGAACTGTGACTACAAGTCTCTTTCCACTGTACTTCCATTAGTTCAGAATATTTGGTCTATTTCAACTAGACAGCTTGGAAAAAAAAACCAGCCTAATGAAATTTAGATAAGAAAGAAAA